ACTTTCCCTTGATATACGATGAAGGGGGCCAAGTTTGACTCAAAATGAAATCGAGTCAACAAAAATCTTAGGTAATTGTGATAACTAGTCTCGTCGGATTTTTGGTGAGGGTGTCGAGAGGACAATCGAGCACCTTCCAAATTTAAATTTGGGGGAATGTTGGAGGTTGGAGGGAGGATACTTTCAAAAATTGAGGTAAGCCATAATTGAATGAACCAAATGGGACCTGAAAAATTCCCTGAGGCCCTGGGGGTATTCAAAATATCGACGGCTTCATCAAAAGAAGCATAAACATTGGCCAATAACAACTTTGCTAAACAAATCCGTGGTTGGCCAGTGTGGAGGAGATAGGCAAGATTATAAAGGTGGGACGAGATCTGGATGGATCGAGGGCAAAAGACGTGGGTGCAAAGCCAATATACCAGGAAGGCCACATGCTCTTCATCAGAAACAGCTACTGTTTGATCGTCAATAAAATGTTTTTCGAGAAAATGTCCATATGCCTTCAATTCCCAATCGATTTTTGACCTTAAAGAATTATCCAAAGGGAAAGCACCCTTATAGTATTTCTCCCCTGTGGGCTTTAATCCAGTAATTGCAACAATTTCAAAAAGGGTGGGTGAAAGGGGACCACAAGGAAGTTCCAGTGCATGTAAATCCTTATTCCACAGATGGACGGCAGATAAAAACATGGTCATATCTAAAAACGACAGATCACATCGAGACAAATGTAGGAAATCGAAGATCCCTACATCTCTCTAATGGTTCCCAAACTTAGTTTTAACTCGGTCAAATCACCTAATGTACAAGGGTTTTTTGTGGGGAGGGCTTGTTCGATATACTTTGGAGACAATATTCAGAAAATCAATTCGAACCTCGGACTGATGAATAAGAGCCTTACTCTCTAAAGAAAGGTTGAGGGAAGAAGAAAACGATCCGCCACAGTAGCGGATAGGACCACCAAACACATAATTTACACTATCAGCGACGTAAGGGATAAGTACCTGGGTCTTGGCAATCCTTTGTGAGGCTTCTTCCATCAAAGGAACCGGAGCAAACTTCTTCCCATTAATCTCTATTAGGTTGGAGGTCACCGAGGAAAGTGGTGGGGCGGAGAAATCAGAGGATTTGGAGGTCGCCATTACAGTCGGTAGAGAAGAGGAAGACGAAAGGTTGAAGATGAGGAAGTGCAACGAAGGATGAGGTTCGTGGTAAAAAACAAGGGTAAAAATTGATAAAAGTATTTAAAGAAGCCGAGTAGGGTATTTGAAACGGCAAATTTAAAGCGGGTAATTAAAAGCGTGGCAGCAGAGGTGATGTGATAGGTGATATAAAATAGACAGAAACCCTAAAACCCCAGAAACCCTAAAACCCTGGAAACCCTAAACCCTAAGGAGTTATTTCGAGTTTCAAGAACGATTAAGGGCGGGAGTCATATTCTGGAAGAATATAAAAAATTACAAATACTTATATTCTTCCAGGGGGGCATTTGTTAGTAAAATAAAAATCGATACCAGGATCGATAAACAAGAAAGAGGAATATCGAAGATCATATGGTTGGTTAAAAAATTGATAAGAGACAGGCAGAAGACACCTAGTAACCACAAGATAAAAACACATATAAATCGAGAATCAGAATCGAAGGAAGAATATTCGATGTCTATTGTTGAAAAGAATCGAGAAATTAGAATCTAGTGTAATGTTAAGATTAAAGGGAATAAAAAATAATTCAAAGTACTCGATGTCTGAAATCGAGATCGAGGGAACGGTTAACGCGCACATAGAACATGGGAAGCGGTTTCTAAACCGTGGCAGAGATCGAAGATCAAGGGAGCGGTTATCTCATGCATGGGAACGTGGAATGCAGTTTTCTAAACCGTAGAACTAAGGGACGTGCATGTTGGATCGTGGTGGCAGTTTTGTTAACTGCTCTTAGGAGGTTACTTGAAAGGTGCTCTATAAATAGAGCAAAGACTTGAGAGAAAAAGGGGGGGGTGGCAGAGACAACAGAAGCGCAAGTGAACAGTCTACAGGAGAACGATGCTTCATGAAGTTTCTAATGCTCTGGATTTCCGTTTTCATTGATTATCTTTATCGCTTTCTTTACTTTCCCTGGTAATTTACTTTCATACAATTTACGTTTATCAACTTTAAGTTTCTGTTCTTTCAATTCCTTGTCATTTACTTTTATGCAAGTTAAGGTTATGCGTTTAATTTCCTGCTATTTACATTTCTGCAATTTCGATTTCCTGCTATTCACATTTCTGCAATTTTGATTCCTTGTCATTTACACTTAATGCAAATTTGAGGTTTCCGCACTTTACATTTCTCTGCAATTTAATATTCTGCACTATCTTTCGATTCGACACTTTTTACTGCTTTCTTTACTTCGCGTTTCTTAATGAAAAATACCAGAAATAGTACTTTCGATTGTCAATTTGTATGATATTTTTCATTTCTCGACACTATGGAATTTTCGATTCTCATAAATGTTTCGATTGAAAACTATTTGCTAGCCTAAGTAAAAAGAATCTACGTGGTCGAAATTTAGTCAGAACCTAAGTCTCTAAGAAATTGAAATCGATTAAATTTTCACCAGAAACAACTAGAAAGCTTGTACTCAACCGGTTAAAGTCAATTACTCTATGAGTATTTGCCTTTGATTGTGCATCCTTCAAAATCTTGACTGTCAATTCAGCATATACATATCTAACATAACCATAACGACCACTTCGTTACCTTTTTTTGGTGAAGAACTTATTATATCGTATATAAGTTATCGTTACCAAGGAGAAAATAGAAAGATTCCTTGTATTTTTTGGGATGTAATTTATTAACTTTTTCAAGTTAGTGGTCATGTGTTCCCAGTGTCGACCGTTATCCCAAGTTAGTGTCTACTTCTTCCTTCGGATTTCATCCTACCATATTTCTGCTTCCAGATCTTCATTTCTTACTATGTTGCAATAGTAGAAGAATATGAGATCAATTATTTTGTATGTTGTTTGCAAAACAATTGAACATTAACTAGTTAGTAGGTACTTTAGCCAATACAAAAATAATGAAATTAATGAGTTTAGAAAATAAAAGAAGTTGTTCATGTTCACAATATCCTTTTTAAGTGGACTCTTCTTAAATCTCCTTATGAAATTATGTGCAAGATGTCGAATACAGTACACATGCATAGAATTATTTTTTAATACAACCGTTGTCCTCTCTTGAGTAAGTACTTCATATAAACTCATGGTGGTTAGAAATGAGATATAACCCATCTTGTGGGACGACGTATCTCTTTAGGTTCTTCAAAAATAAGAACAAAGCTTCAATTGTTTCCCCCTCCACTATAGCGAAGACGATTGTGAGTATGTTCTTGCGACCATCTTGTGTTATTGCAACCAATAATGTTCCTCTATATTTTTCATGAAGAAATATTTTTTCCACTTGCACTAATGGCTTGCAATATTGAAAATCATCTATGCAAAGTTTGAACGACCATAATACCCTTTTGAAGAAGACGTGATCCTCAACCAGTTGTTTTCCTTAGTAAGATGGATGCATTTTTATCTTCCCTATAAATTCAGGAACATATACCTACATTGCCTTGAGAAATGTGGCAGCTTTAATAACCATGTCTTCCGATAAGAGACAATATCCTTAGGTAGACTTGATATGGGTAATTATTGTTAACATAGGGGTTGAACAATACACATCCATAATGTCCTAGATTGTTTGAGAAATAAGGTGCGAACCCAACTTGTTATGATCTTGAGAGATTAATGAGGACATGTAAGTGTAGATGCCTTCCAACATCATTATTGGTCAATATTGTTCTCTGGTCTGCAATATTGTTTTGCACCTTCAATCACACTCTTACCTTACAAGCCTATTTATTGTGTCAGTCACATCTTGTTTGTTGTTGAAGTGTTGATCAACAAACAATGTACCAGAGGGTATACAAATATATCTTGGTTAAAAATATAGGCAAATTCATGGTCAATGTCATTCATGGTAGATTAAAATTGGGTAAATTATTAGGTTGGGTTGTAGGTGACCTGGGTAAGTTGGTGTTAATATTTTCACTCATGGATTCAAATTACCCGGCAAGTGTACCAAGTTTCGATGTAGTAAAGAGTTATCGTCCACAGAGATTTGTGACTTAGTGATATTGCAGATAAGATATGGTTGTCATCATGGATTGAAAGTATGGTTTAAGGCAAACAACTAAAATAATCGCAATTTTTGGTATATAACGAAAAGTGATTATAAATAAAACAGATTGAATTACATGCACTTGCTTCCAGCCCTATTTCCCAACCATATAATTTCTATTTTACAATTTCACTCTCAGTATATAACTTGGCCCGATTCCTCAAAACCAAGTCCTAGGATGTTAACCATGAATGTGATTCCTCAACAATTAAAACCCAACACTCTGCCTTACGAATAAATCTTGAGATTAACGTGATTAATAAACACGTTTCTATTTCTAGAGAGGTTGTCTATTAAGCATTTGATCCATTTCCGGTTAATGAAAACATTTTCCAACACAATCAAAACCCTAAGATCTTAAATCGTTTGATCACTCCGAAGAAAGCATTAAGAATAGAATCAAACGCAATTGTAGCAAACAAAAATCATATATATGGAGAAATGGTCTGAAAGTAGGTACATGCAATCTAACCAAAGAGTTTTAGCTCCTCATGGAGGAACCCATTACAAAGCAAGAGAAGAAGGAGAAGAAATTACAACAAAACTTGTTGGATTCAAGTTGATATGCATTCCCCACGAGCTCCTTTAGGTCTAAATCATCTTTCTTTCTTTCTCCCCGTGCAAGCCTCCCTTTTTCATTTGTTCTTTCATTTCTTAAATAGAAATTAGGTCTAAGAATAGGGAAATTTGTTGGGCGCCAGGATGATGCGTTGGGCGGATTGAGCCCCGCGTGCACCCACTTCGTTCAGGAAAATCCGCTGGGCGCCTTATAAATGCGTTGGGCGGATTGAGTTTCAGCCAAAATCCGCTGGGCGCAGCTCGTATGCGTTGGGCGCAGCTCGTATGCGCTGGGCTGATTTTCTTCTTCTAATATTTCTCTTTCTCTTCCTTTAAATCCTGAATCAAAGAACAACTTGAGAGAATAGTTACTTGATAAAATCTTTTCATGATTTTTATACTTTTTAAGGTTAAGATTACAGCAAAAAGATGAAAATATTGTCTTAAAAAAGTGAGTTTCTCAATGAAATTTGTACTCAATTAGCTCCTTAACAGTTGGATGGTAAGTTCTGTTGTGGTTCTTCATCATATTCTCCATCTGCACTATCAACAAGAATGTCATCTTTGTCATCACTGAAAGGGTCATAATTTTTGGATGAAAAATATAATATGATATGTTCTTCCATGGTTGGGTTGCGGGGTGGGGTTGGATGGATTGGTTCAAAATGTAGGTTTAACCTTGTGAGTATGTTTGAACATCTGATTCACAGGAAGTATAAAATGAATGATTATTTTGCTCTAGGTTGTTGAATGGTAAAAGGTGGTAAGAAGGTTCAAATTGTGAGTTATGTAGTGGTTGATGTATAAATAAAAGTGAGGAAAAAAATAATAAAATTTGGGGTTGAGATGAATAACATTGAAAGGGAATAAAAAACTCATTGTTAGTTGAGAATATCTCTAATTTAGAAATGTCGAATATGACATTGATGTCATCATCACCAGTAAGCTCAACGATTGTGTACTTATATACCCATGCACCGATTCATAAGGTCCTTTTTATAGAATGGGTAAGTGAATAGTTGCCACCCTTTCATAAGGTCCTTTTTATAGCAAATCAATGACCTTCTTCTTCAATATCTGCATGGACACTTTCCACGTCGGTTCTACGTGGAAAGTCTGATTTTTCAAATTGAAAATTCTTATTTATTTCCAACCCCTCTATTTATTTAGAAATTATTTATCCTATTTTTTTTAAGTTTAGAGCATTACCAAATTATTTTTTTGTTACTGACAGGATTCGAACCCAGTACTTTAATGTTGGAGGCCGATACTCCATCCACTAAACTACTCGAATTTTTTGATAGTAACTTACAAATAAATTATATTTATATACAAATAAATATATATCAGTGTAAATATATAAATACAAATATATTTATATATTTTGATATATTTATATAATTATATATTTATATGTTGGATGTGAGGGCACGCTCGAAGGTGAAAGTGTGTGTCGAGTGGATTTTCAAATTTTGATGCCAAATTTATGAGCGGGTCTCTTTATATGGGTTTGTAATTTAATGACAGAATATAATATTTATAATTTATTTATATAATGATATAAAATAAATTTGGGAAACGTATCATTCGCTTAAGCGAAAAATACTAATTTTCGCTCAAACGAGGCTTGAGCGAGTCAATTTCTGTGAGCTTTAACGTATTTTCACTCAAGCGAGAGTCAATCTCACTTTAATCCTCGAATGCGCCCTCACATCCAACATATAAATATATATATATATATATATATATATATATATATATCAAAATATATAAATATATCAAAATATATAAATATATCAAAATATATAAATATATCAAAATATATAAATATATTTGTATTTATATATTCTATATTTATATATTTACATGGATATATATTTATTTGTATATAAATATAATTTATTTGTAAATTATTATTAAAAAACTATAGTAGTTTAGTGGTTGGAGTATCAATTTTCAACTCTAAAATATTGGATTCGAATGCTATCAGTGACAATTCTCTAACTTAAGTGAATTTTTTACTGAAAAAAATAAAAACACTTTTCAGAAAATATATAAATAAATATATATTTACACAGATATATATTTATTTGTATATAAATATAATTTATTTGTAAGTTATTATTAGAAAATTATAGTAGTTTAGTGGTTGGAGTATCAACTTTCAACTCTAAAATACTTGGTTCAAATCCTGTCAGTGACAATTCTCTAACTTAAGTAAATTTTTGGCTGAAATCACATTCAACGTCGTACGTCGGTTGAAAGTGTATTTAACGTCGGCTCAGCTTTAACCGACGTTAAATGGTGACGTTGAAAGCATATTTTGTAGTAGTGGAAGTTTCAGTACTAGTGATTGAAATGTGACTCCTTTGATGTCGGTGAAGTCCATGACACCATCACAATAAAGAAGGGTAATTTATGAAGATAAGATTTTGTATATGTAAATGAGACAGAGTTTTAGAGATAAGTCGGAGAAAGTTTTAGAGAAGGGTGGAGAAGACTTTTGGAGATGGGTCAAATAGAGTTTGAGAGAATTTAAGAGAATGAATGGAATGATGAAATCTCTACCTTTAGTATTTATAGGAGATTTAATTTGTCAAATCTTAACCACCATAAGAGATTTAATTTGTCAAATATTAACCACCATACTTAATATAATCAAGTCTCAACCATTATACTTAATACAGTCACCTCCCAACTACCAAAATGTAGGAAACATATAAAAGTTCTAAGAAGTAAACAGGATAAAAAAATATAACTTACACGAGTTTAGTAAATTTTATGAAGATGAAGGAATAAAAAGACAATTTACAATTGCATATACATCACAACAAAATGGTTTATCAGAAAGAAGAATCACATAATGATGGAGATGAGTAGATTAATGCTTAAGGAGAGAGAATTCGTCTAATACTTTTGGATAAAAATAATTTACATTGTCATGCATATATTCAACAACCAATATTCAATTAAGACAATTCAAGATAATATTCCAAACAAAGCTTGGAATCATCAACTATTCATTTAAGAGTTTTTGAATCTATTTGCTGCATACATTTTTCTAATAAAAAAAGACATTAATTAAAAAGAAAAAGATTATATGAAGAATCTTCTTAGAATATAACACATAATCAAAAGGTCATAAAATTTACAACCTATAAACAAAGAAGTTCACTATTAATTGAGATGTTAAAGTTGATGAAAATATTTTTTAGAATTAGAAGGAAGGAAAAATCATAAGAAACAACATCTTTATTATAGTGTAACCATCTTAAAAAGTAGTAGAAGAATCAAGTAAGTCTCATTTTCACCTATACAACAGTAAAATTTTTCATCAAAGTTTACTCTTAGGTGAATAAAATCTTTAGTAGATATATATGAAACATGCAACATGACAATGCTTGAACTTAAATGATATGAAGGGGTAACAAAGTAAGAATTTAGGATCAAGATAACAAAAGAGAAAAAATGATTAAAAATAACAATATTTGAAAATTGGTATATTCCTTACATGAAAACGATATTATTGAAATTAAAGGAGTCTATAAAACAAAATTCAATGTCAATAATTTTATAGAAAAGTACAAAATTAGGTTGATGACAAAGAAGCCAACCACCTAAAATCCATTAGAAGGAAACATATTTAGTAATACATTATCTATTTGCTACATCGCATTATCAAGAGTTTGAAATTACCAAAATTTATATGAAAGAGTAATAAAAATATGTAAATTCTGTAAAGATATAAAGAATAAAGATCTACTAACCCGTAAAACTATTAACTTCATGTAAATAATACTTTAAAACTATTGGAAGAATAAAAATGTAATATATATAAAACCATATTTAAACTCCTAGAAAAAGGTGGCCAGAGATTCCCTTATTTACACCATAAATACTTTCAAAATCTATAATTATTTTCACTCATTCAATTTTTTTTTTCCTTCTATTTCTAAAAGCTATTTACTACATTCCAAGGCACCACTAGATTATCTCCCATACCCATATTGATTCAAAATAACAATCCTATATAAGAGAGTCCCACGGGAGACTGAATTGGAGAGAGAAATGGAAAAGAATTGAACCTACAATAACTGTAGGAGACTGATTAAAGAAAGAGAGAAATGAAAAAGTTAAGTGAGTGTGGAAGAATCTAGCCTCACCTACAGTAGAAACAATGATAGATCTGAAATTCAGGATTCTTTTCTATTGGCCCTCGCGGTCACAGCAATCAAAGCATTCGATAAATTCGGTGCTGTTCTTCTTCCATTTATATCTCTTGCCTTGCGCTTCGCGCACAGTGCAAGCTGGTTGGTCCCATCTCAACGTCTAGAAGTGGCAGGTGCAGTACGTCAAACATCTTGGAACGGAATGTCAGGTCCAATTCCAGGACACTGTCTCGAGAATCAGAAACGTAAATCGGACAGGAGACCATATCTTGTTAGTATCCATGGCTATTTCCGAGGTGTTTATAGCCAACTGAAGAACAATTAATATGTTGATTAAACTTAAACATTTGTAACTAAATAGTTGGTTTAATTAAGTAAATTAGAAATTTGTTTTCTATTATGACGGTTGAAGATGTAATAAATGACCGTTAAAAAAAAAATAAAGACTGGGTTATATCTTTAAATACTAGTTATATCATTGCAATATCAATACAAGTATAATTATTCAATTCTAAAATACATTGTTTTTGAGTATCACAGTCAAAGAAGTCCAAGCTCTGTGATTAGGTAACGTAATAATCATTAAAAAAATTGATGCGGTTCAGAAGTATTTTTGGAATGCAATTGTTCTGGTCTTCCAAGTAAAATTGCCGAATTTCTTGGTCTATATAACTGACATGGAGTTTTATTATAGGGAGGGAGGACAAGCATAGTGATGTTTTTTTTCGGGGGGAAAGAACGTGTTATCAGTGAACTAAACAAAATAAGGTGCCTATTTCAATTATGCCCACACAATGTTTATACTTTTTATATATTAGTTTACACTAGGTTCTGGAATGCAGATAGAAATTGCGGTCAAAGTCAATGTAAGTCTGCATTTTAACTTTTAAATATCATCGCACACCTTTTAGAGAAAAATACCATACCTGCCAACAACGTGATCTATGAAATCAAATTTTGGAAGGGCACAGTACTAAGTCATACCTACCAACAACGCGGTGGTTTCTTTATGGAATATATCTGTTTAATAAAATTAAATCTTACATCTATGTTAGTTTGAATATTTTGATTGAATAACTTTTGTAGGTAATTAAGTTTACTATTCCAGATAGTTAAAATTATAATTATAGATAAATAAGATTTCGGTAATTAATAACGTAAGAAATCAGAAAGTCAAAGTTTCAATTTTAAAATATCTAGATGCATTATTTGATAATTGTGATAGATAGAAAATAATATACCGATTATATAAATTTTTTATTATTAAATTGGTAGCAGATGATTAACTCGGTGGAATAGTGATTAACTAGGTGGAATATGATATAGAGTAGGTGATAGATATTTGATTGTGAATTTTTATGTTAAAAGTCACTACTAGGTATACCTAAAGTCACTATTATATACTAAGGTATTATTAGATATAAATAAGTTTACTATTAAATATAAATAAGATATTACTAAGTATTTATGGTTAAGAAAGATTTCTACTTAATAGGGAGATATACGAATATAAAAAAAATAACACTTAAAAGAAACAGATTATTAAAAATCTAAATATAAATTAAAATTTTATATGAAATAAAAATAAAAAACTAATTATAAATAAGAAATATTCATTACTAAACCTATATTTAGATCTAATATATCCTGTAAATAAAGAAATGGGAAAATAGATTTATTGAAAAAGATGTAAGTTTGATTTAATGATTTGGATGAAAAATTAAGATGTGTATTTAATTTGAACCCTTCGGGATAAAAGAAATATGAGGAGAAAGATACGTACTAGTAAAAAAATATGATTTTGTAACTATATGATGATTGTAATTCACCCTAAGATAGTAAAATTTTGTAATAATATTATAAACTTTTTATGTGGGTTGTTATGTAATCAACATGATATATAGGTAAAGTAATTTTCTATATCAATTTTAGTTTAACCAACATATAAAATGTATATTAAATTAAATATATAAATATATTTATATTTATATATTTTATATTTATATATTTACATAGATATATATATTTATTTATATATAAATATAATTTATTTGTAAGTTATTAATGGATTATACTTTAGTACATAATCAATTATCTAATGAGATATAATTGATTATCACTAATTTACCGTAATCAATTCTATTTAAATTATGCAACATATAAAATGATTATTAATTATATTTTAATTGCAAACTTCAATTTTATTACTCAAATAAATATAACTTATCTTATTTGCATTAAAAATAATACTAGAAGGTACAATTTTTTTATTAAAATATGATTTAATTAAATATAATTATTTATAATAAATATATTGGTTGTTACATTAATTATTTATTTATAATATTTTTTTAATTTTACGATAAAAATTTATACCAACAATTAAACTCTTATAATTATAATTATTAAAATTTTAAGTTTGAATTTTGAATAAATATATTTTAATTAATTACATTTCTTAAATTAAGTGAAGTTGGTTTTATTATTTATTTTTATTATATTTTTTAATTTATTTTATATTGAAATATTTGTGAAGTTGAAAAAAATTGTGACAAGGAATAATTTTGCAAGAAATATTTTAAAAGTATAGTTAATTTAAAAATAAAAATTCAAAAGGAAAAATTATAGTATTTTTAATTTTAGTTAAAATTCAATAAGATTCAAACAACTTTATTGTTTGTGAAGAATTTAAATAAAAATTATAATTAATAGAAATGTTTTAAAAAAATAATATTTTTAATTATAATAAATTTTGATAAGATTCAAATAATTTATTTGTATCATTTATGAAGACTTTAAATAAAAATTATAATTAAAAAATAAGTATAATATTATTAAAAAGTATATTTATTTAATTTTAAAATATAAAAAATAACATAACATAATTACATATAATTTATATTATAAAAATAAAAATATATTTAAAATTTTACCGATTGAAAAAAGATATTTTTTTAAATTATTTAAATATTTTAATATTAGAGTGTATTAATAATGTAATTTTAATGTATATTTTTATTTTTATTATATATATATATATATATATATATATATATTAATTAGCATGTGAAATAAAAATTTGTACATGATTTGTAATTAATTATTTTTATAATTTATATATAAATTAATTTTAATATATGTAATTTTTTATCTATTAATTAAGTTAACTAATTTAAATTAAATTATATCACAATTTTAATTTATATTTATTACACTTACAATTAATAACAAGAATATTTTAATCAACACACCTTTTATCTTATTAATTAATTTTTTGTATTCCCTCAAATAAATCATATATTGTAAAATCTTTTTAACTTATTTCTCTTACCTAGCTTCTTTCCATTCTCATCTCCTTACAAACAATCTTATTTTTCTGTTCTCTCATATTCACTTTTCATTTTGGATTGAAATTATTTATTCGTGCTAGAGATTCCCAGCATGGACAACGTGATGCACAATCAATTTTATAATATTCGATCATGGAATCCAGAGAAAAATCACTGTCAAAGTCAGTCTAAGTCGTCGTTTTTTTTTCACCTTTTAAATGTTTTTGGGCAGCTTTCTAAAGGAAAAATGCCGTCACACTCAGAGCCTCTTTTAATTTATGTTTACGCGGTTTTTGTATTTGTTTACTTCATTGCAAGTGTAGAAATCCAGATAGAGAGCTTCTTGGGCAAAATCTAAGCCTGCGTTTTAATCTTCAAACATTGTCACACAAATAAATCCCATAGTCCAAGTCTTGATCACAAGTCTCCAACATTAGGTCATGTGGAGAGAGATGGAGTTCTTGGTGATCTTCTTGGTGTTTCTAGTCCAACAACTATGTGCTACGAATGAGCAAGGAAATACTATTGATTGTCCCCCTTCTTCCTGTGGGAAAATCGCAAACATAAGTCGTCCATTTCGATTGAAAAGTGACCCAACATATTGCGGCCACCGCAAGTATGAACTGAGTTGTGAAAATAATGTTACGGTGTTATATTTGTACCGGGGAAAATATCATGTGCAGGCAATTAACTACCACAATTTCACAATCCGAGTGGTTGATCCGGGAGTTGAAGAACCAAGTTGCTCCTCCCTTCCTCGCTATTTCTTGTCTCAATCCAATTTCAGTGATACTTATCATGTTCACGCCGTGGATCCATACAGAGCTACTCAAAACCAATTGTTTCAAGGTAGTTCTAATCAGAAGCGTCTTTTCGAGCACATAATTTACATGAATTGTAGGCATCCAGTGAATGACAATTCTAAGTACGTGAATACTACTCCGTGCGTGAAGTGGCACTCCGAAGGCTATATATATGCTATCGCTGGTGACTTAAAAGCAGCGGACTTTGAAGTTGGTTGTCGTATAAAGTTGGTTTCTCCCACGTCTTGGTGGGGTTTGGATTCAAATCCATATTCGTACGCTATGATGAACAGGGCGCTGGTTTATGGATTTGAGATGTCGTGGATGCCTTTCGCCTGTAAGGATCATTGTGGAAACTCAACTCATGATAGCTGCTATTTGCACTCGTCCACCCTCCAGCTTCAGTGCTCGCGCTACTGCAGCTACATATTCGGAACAACGGAACTGGAATGTGGTAAAGGAATTCAAATTCAAGTTCTTAGTTAAATTAATATTTTTAATCAAAGGAAACCTTGTATATTTCTTTATCTATTTATCAATTATCATCGTACATAATAATTTTATATTTATGAATGATCAGCAAAACCATCCGTCATTTGTTAAAACTAGTTTGAGATATTTCAAAGCAAAGCTTCCAATGTCTATATTTATATAGTTTTAGAAAAATAATTAGTTTTTATGCTTTACATGGAGATAGAACCTACCCGTTAAATGCAACAACACTAGTCTTAAATAGTAATAATTCTTTTAAACTGGCAAATTATATTTTCTTCGTCTCGGAGATATCAAAAGTATTCTGAAAATGTTATTTTCTTTCATTTTCAGTTACAGAGTTATGGACACAGCTGCTAGTTTACCCACGTAAGAATTTTATCATCTTATATTACCTGCTCCTTGGTTATGTTATGAATTGATTTTGATGTTTCGTTACTATGTTCAATTATATACTTTTACATTATTTATTAACTCTAAATATACATGTAATTTCATATTCCATAATCATGTAATAAAACATTACTAAAAATATGTTATTTTCAATAATAGTACATATATATTTGCCCTGTCTATGGACAAATATATTTAATATAGATTAATAGAATTATTAATTTTTATTTGTACAATGACTTTGTATATCATATTAACCTAATATAATAAATATATATTAAATATATTATTACAAAAAAAATTATTAATTACCAATGGATATTTAGGAACATATGTTAGTAGTATTGCTAAATAAGGTGATGGTTAGTATCAAATTTTAGAAATGAAATTCACGTTTTATTTTAACAAATATATTACTTATTATATCTGATGTTATCTTTAGAATCAAACAATTCTTTTTCATGCTATTCACTCATCTGAGTATTCTTTTCTTGCAGCTTGGCTCTATGATATTTTCATAGGTGAGTTTTTCTACTTTCAGCATGCTACAATAATATCAGTTATATTCTGTTTTTTTTTTTTTATACTAGAACATCTATTATAATAATTCGTATATGGTAGTCTCTGCACTTAAAAAAAAACATTGAATAGAAAATAAAGTGCATTTACTATTATTGATTTAAAAATTAACAATTAAAAAATATGACTAAATCAAATACAAAGATTAGTGTAATTGATTTTTTTAGTTAATTATTAATATTGTATTTTATATTTTAAAATGCAGTTTCTTACTTTAGCGAAGACAAATTGAAGAAGTTATACTTATATGTTGTTATATCGCATAGTTCGTTCTTTTTCATTCTTGATTGAAATACAATTATATTTGTGATTTAATTCTCAGGACTAATGGAAACAATACAAGGAAACCTAAGATTTAGAGAAGCCTTGTACTTAAGCGTGGTATCATATTCCATAGGACACTATGTTATACCATTATTGATGGTAGTCAGAATTTTGTTTGGGGTGATATTACTTACTGTGATTTTGATATACAAATGGCGCAAAAGGCATTTGTCAATGTATCAAAATATTGAAAATTATCTGGAGCAGAATAACTTGATGCCTATCAGATACTCGTACAAGGAGATCAAGAAGATGGTGAGAGGTTTCAATGAAAAATTGGGTGAAGGAGGGTATGGCTCTGTGTACAAGGGAAAGATGCGTAGTGGATCTTATGCGGCAATAAAAATGTTAGGTAAATCAAAAGGTAATGGTCATGATTTTATAAGTGAAGTTGCCACCATCGGAAGAATACATCATCAAAATGTAGTACAACTAATTGGATTTTGTGTTGAGGGTTCAAAGCGTGCTCTTGTTTATGAATTCATGTCCAATGGATCTCTTGATAAAATTATTTTTTCGAAAGATAGAAGTGTAGATTTAAGCTATGAAAAAATATACAATATATCAATTGGAGTAGCTCGTGGGATTGCTTATCTTCACCACGGGTGTGAGATGCAAATTTTGCATTTCGACATCAAGCCCCACAATATTCTACTTGATGATAATTTCGTTCCAAAGGTTTCTGACTTTGGATTGGCAAAGTTATATCCTGGAGATAATAGCATTGTCACCGTGACAGCTGCAAGAGGGACAATTGGATATATGGCTCCAGAATTATTTTATAAAAACATTGGAGGAATATCCTATAAATCTGATGTTTATAGTTTTGGAATGCTTTTAATGGAGATGGCAAGCAGGAGAAAAAACTTAAATGCTCAAGTAGAGCATTCAAGTCAAATATACTTTCCTGAATGGGTTTATGATCACCTTAGAAAAGATAGAGATATAGACATGGAAGATATCACAGAGGAGGAAAAGAAAATAGTGAAAAAGATGATGATAGTTGCCCTCTGGTGTATACAAATGAAACCAAATGATCGTCCCTCCATGAATAAGGTAGTGGAAATGCTTGAAGGAGACATTGAAGACTTAGAAATCCCTGAAAATTTTTCTTTATATCCATATGAATCGACAGAAGACTCTAAGCAAACAAAATCTGGTAAATATATTAGTTCTTGTAGTTATTCTACGGCTGCTGAAACTAATCCTTTTATACCGAATAGTATTTGATGATGTAAAATGTTTATTTATTTTCATCCACCTTCTCGTGTTGATCATTGCTATGTGTGGGACAAATTCGCTGTCTTGTATCTTTTCTTAATTGGGCACAACTTGTAAAGTAGGGTGAACTTTTCCTTTTGAATCTTGCATCTTGCCAAAAACTTGTAAGGGACGAAAAAAAATGGCCTAAGACCATGACTATTGTGACTAATGATAATCACGACAAAGTTTTATACATGATCGTGCTTGTAAGCAAATACAAATAATTTATTACAAATATATATAAAAATTGGACAAAAATAGAAATACAAATATAGAAAGATATTAACAATAGTTTGTTAAGTTTATGAATGACATGCTACTTTATCTAATTTCTATGTTTTTTTACTAATCTTATTAATAGTGTTTGATAAGCAGATATTTTTAATTGTTTTTTACTATCTTCTAGTTTTTCCTTTTGGTAAAAACCATCTTTCAACTTTCTTCTATTAAATTATTTTTATTCTGAAACTTTTCATTATTTTTTTTTCTGGTAAGATTTTATTATATATATTATTTATTTTCTATTCTTCCACTTATAAGGTAGAAGTTTTTAATTTTACATATAAGATGATTTTTTATTATTTATATCTTTTTTAATTACATAAGATATAAGGTAGAATTTTTATTTTGTTTATATGAAATACAATTATTATTTTCATCTGAATTACCTAAGATATTGATAATGGTAGATAATAATTAATTTTATAATATTTTGTTATTCAATTTATGGTTAAAAAAGCTAAAATCATATTAATTAACAGAATATATATTTCTTTAAAATGGATGTTGGAGTGCAAGAGCATCACAATTGGAGTGGAAATCTTAATAAGGTTGGTATCCCTAGACCTATCATGGATCAAATACACATAGCTTCGAATTTAATGATCAAAAGGGAATTGCAAAATGCTATAAGAGGTAATCTTCTAAATCTTAGTAATTAAGGTGAATGTGTGGTTCATGAAGAAAGGAGTATTCTGCTCAAGATCTTTAATAAAAAAAATTTAAATTATACACCTTGAATCCTCAAAAGTTCTAGTTCTACGAGTATTATTGGAACAAATTAATATATCAAGGAATTGACTCATGATAACTTATCTATTTTATGTTATTTTGACTTTATAATATATAACTATAAACTAATGAATGTTAATGTATCATTTTTTGGTTGATCTTGGAGACCAGTAACCCTTGATGTCCAAGTTTGCTGATAACTTTATGATTAAATTGAGACAAATTTAAACATCATTACACTATGTTCGTAACGCGGTATGGTTTATGTTTGAATGAATAAAGTAAAACTTTAACAAATTTTTTATTGTTTCATTGATTTTAAATTCAATAAAGTATAGATAATAAATGTGAATTAAGTATAAGTGACGAAGATAGTAGAATGGATCACTATTAGAATCATCCTTCCATTTCAATTACTTGGGTTGGTTGGTTTGCTTCTTGGTTGACTTGAACTTGGACCAAATCAATCAAAGTTCTCCATGATTCGTTGAGTCTTCATGAAGTTTGAAGGTGCTCTTAGTTGCATGCACACATGGGATTGTTGTGTCTTAAAGTTGGCTTGGTTGCATCTTGAAACTATTTTGTACAGGAAGATGGTAAGGATGGAAATGAATGATGACTTACTTAAGGCCAAGATACAAAGAAGGAAACATAACTTGATCAAGAAAGATAAAGAATTGGCCCAACGAGATAGAAAATTTGAAAAGAGGGAAAAAAGATTTGGAAAGAGTACAAGCTCAATAAAATATTTGGAAAGATTTTGATAGTGTTGTAAATCTTAAAACTCCAATAAAATATACATAGAACGTTTGAAGGAAATCCTAAAAGTGATCGACATTGTTTTCGTCTATTTCATGAATAACTTCCAACTCAAAATTTTGATGTCTTGGCGAAACAACGGCATGTGTTCTAGAAGAACCGGAGATGTCGAAAGGAGTAGGGGGTGCTGTTAACTCATCTCCGTTCCCTTCAAGCATTTGTACCACAGTTTTCATGGAAGGACGGTCCGCTGGGTTCCATTGAATGCACCAAAGTCCTACAATGGCAAGTTTCTTGGCAATTTTAGCATCTCCCTCATCCTCAATGCTAATTTGCACGTCTCCGCCTTCCAGCAAATTATGGATCCACTCTGGGTACAGAACTTGGAAACTGTCCTCAACTGACACATTGGTATTCTTTCTTCCTCCAACCATTTCTAACAGCAACATTCCATAGCTGTAAATGTCAGACTTGTAAGACACATTACCAAAGTTCCGAGAGAAAACTTCAGGGGCAATATAGCCCAAAGTTCCCCTGGCTGCAGTCATAGACACCGTGCTTTGATTTTTTGGACACAACTTGGCAAGTCCAAAATCAGTGATTTTTGGGACGAAAAGGTCATCTAGCAAAACATTGTGAGGATTAATATCAAAGTGAAGTATTCTATGATCACACCCAAGGTGGAGGTACTCAATTCCTCTGCCAACACCAAGACCAATTTGTTGCAACTTCTCCCAACCAAGGAAAACATCCTTGTTGTCTGGTGGAGCCAAGAATCTCTGCAGCGACCCACTTGGAAAGAAATCGTAGACAAGAGCACGGTGGAACTCATCTGCACAGAAACCAAGCAAGCGAACAACGTTAACATGATGAATTTTCCCAATGGCTCTCACTTCATTTATGAAATCTTTCCCATCTCCCACTGTGTCTTTGAGTATCTTTACAGCAACAAGAATTTCACGGGAGAGCATTCCTTTGAACACTGCTCCATGCGCTCCTTCCCCCAAACTCTCACAGAACCCATTTGTAATTCTCTTGATGTCAGCGTAAGTGAATCTGGTAGGCTTCATTGCCCTGTAATCCTTCAAGAATTTCTCTATTCGAGCCCGGTCTTCTTCCTTCTTCTCATAATAGTCATATACATAAAACAATGCCTTGACCAGTAGCAGAAAAATTATCAAACCAACTACTCCTCCTGTTGGTAAAAAAATAAGTTATACAAAAGGAATAACAAAATAAGAAAGGGTCAAATGCAGTTGCAAATTCGGTTGTTGAGATTAACAAAATAGCAAAATTATAGCACAATTTGTCACTGTAATATTGCCTACCTGCAGCAATGAGTACAATAGTTGATGCTGGAATCCTTTTTGTTCTGCAAATGGAACATTCAGTTCCACCGTTAGTACCATTCTTCCATTTACACTTCTGGCCTCGTGCTTCACAGTATCGACAATGAGGTTTCGACCATTCCATAACCAACATCTCCGCATAATACGAACTCATCCACTTGACGGACAAAACATCTTTCAGCTTCGTGCAGGATATTAGTTGGGGGTCAGTGACCTCGTTGTCGGATTCTTGTACCAAAATAGGGCACGACAGTGAGTCGCAATGGAAGAAAGAAACGTTAAACTTTTTAGGACCATAATCATATGTATGGAATTGGAATGGAGAAATGGATGCGTTCCCGAGTTTCAAGAGTTGACCGACAAGGCAATTTTGTGGGTCATATATTTCAATTTGCTGAGATTTGTAATCGATGTTTCTGACAAACAATTTTATTGGAACAGCAGGTAGCTCCATCATAGCCTCGTTTTTTTGGGTGCATAACAGACCAAACTCAGGGGGGTAGTCAGTGGTTTGCTTCTTGTTTATGAGATAAAATGGAAATTGAATACGAACATGCCCACATTTATCCGTGCAGTGGTTCTTGCCCATCGCAGGCTCGCCTACCAGAAACAACAACGTCAATAGAAGAGACGATTTCAGAAAATTGAGCATTTTGTGGTTGATTTGCAGTGTCAAGTGTTGTCTTTATAGTCAGCGCAAGTTTAAAGACGGAGCAACTCCGTGTCGTTGCCTTACTATTTAGTCAATGCAATGGCTTACTGGTCAAAATTTTCTTTTTCTAAAAAGATAAGTCCAAGATATGATACAATATTTAAAATGAACAAGCCAGGAAGTTGACGCGAAAGTAGGAGATATACCTTACTAGCGAAAATGGTCACCAAGATCACTCTATTTCAATATTATTATTATTTGTTCAACACGGAATCCTATTCATTTGATTAAAATTTCAGCTAATGGGTCCTACCTTTGTTAATATTTAAGTATAATTTTCTCCAATCTGAGGAGCAGAGGTACCAATGAGTGTCTTACCTTCTTGCGGTTGCTGCGGACAAGCGGTGGTTGTCTCTGTGGCCATCATTCTTGCGCTACTCCACCATTGCAGTGCCAAGCATCGCCCATCCTGTCCTTCTTCTTCGTGCGGCGATATTCGCGACATAAAATATCCATTCCGACTGAAAGGCGACCCTGGCGGTTGCGGCCTCCCCAGGTACGAACTTGATTGCGTGAATAACGTGACAATGTTTACTCTGTTTTCAGGGAAATACTATGTGAAGGATATTAATTACAAGAGATACGAAATCCGGTTGACTGATGCGGGTGTCGTGGAAGACACCACGTGCTCCTTTCCTCGCTATTTCTTATCCAGACAAAATTTCAGTATCATTTCTGATGATGATCCGCTGACTTACTGGTATACGGAGGAGTATGCGCATCATCCTCCAAAAGTAGTGTTTCTAAACTGTAGTGATCGAGTGAGTGATGATCCTCGATATGTGGAAGTGAGAGGCGGTGGTTGTGATTCCGGAGGCCATATCTATGCCGTTATGGATCGTAGTGAGGTGTTTCCTCCGGAATTCACACTGATGGACGTGAAGGCGGGCTGCAGATTAAAGGTTGCTACCTTCGCAAACTGGACCCATGACGGTAATGGTTTCCATACAAAACATGAGAGGAAGGTTTCGTATGCCGATATCCTTAGATCTCTGGAAGATGGATTTTGGTTGTCTTGGTTACAACTTGTTTGCAGGGATCGCTGTCAGGGTCTCTATTGCAACCTCAATCGAACCACACAACAAATTGAGTGCGGTGGTTGTCAAATCTTCAACCAGGACACCGACAACTGTGGTCAGATATATTCCTCTACATCTCTAATCTTACCATTTTAATTTTATATTTATAAAAGAAAATGATATTTTGAGAACCTAATTGATATAATTTCTATAAACAACATTTTTTAATATTATAATAATAATTTTAATTTATTTTTATTTTTATTAAATCATTTTATAGATTATTATACTAATAAAAATAAATTATTTAAAAGAATTATATAGTTTTTGGTTATGAAAATATTACTACTCATTTTTAAATATATAAATTTTGAAAAATACACATATTTTTAAAAATAAAAAACTATATTTTCAATTTTTAATTAAAAATTTTGTTTTAAAACGCAATTTTTTTATAATGTAAAAACAAAAATCTTCTAATTTCTTAAAACAAATTGACCCTAAATGTAGAAAAACCTACTTAAGCCTGACGAAAGTTTTGAGATACATGTTTAATTGTAAATATAAATTATATTCGTTCAAAAGAAGATTTCTCATAATTTTTTAAAATATATTTTATAATTTTCTACAATATAATTGTCTCCTTTATTAAAAGTGTAAGAATATTATGTAAATTTTAAAGGAGTAAAATGTAGTAGTGTAAAAAATAATGACTATATAATGTTTTAAAATAAAAATAAAAACATGTAAAATTTTAGGGCGTCATGTAATCAAAATAACCTTAGGAGTTGTAATTTCCTCAAAATATTATGAAAACTTATTAATGTTGATAAATAATATAATAGGATAATGTCATTTTTATCTCTTATGTCTTTTCCATCACGTTAATTTTATTTATTTTTATTTTATGTAAAGAATATAATATTTTAATTTATTGTTGTTTATATCTTTACAAATATATTTTTTATTACTTCAGGAATTCTATCACGAATTCGTGGATACATTGGAGGTAGGCAAGCTATCCCATGTCTCATTAACTTCTCTTAAAACTCTCCACCTATATAGTATTGTATTTTTTTCTTAAAATTATTTTTTAGGTTAAATTGGAATTTTGGTTCTTTTTCATTTTTTAATCTATGATTTTAATTTTTTAGTCTCTCTCGCTTTAATTTGTAAATTAAAAAAATCAATTATTAATTTTATATACATTTTATTTTTTATTCTGATCCAAATGAACTCTAGAACTCACATCGCCACCAGAAAATAATTATATATATATATATATATATATATATGTAAATTGAAAATTAAATCAATTTTTTAAAACCCTACAATGATATAGAAAAACCCAAAACCATAGATAAAAGTAAAAGAATAATATAATTCAAACTAATTTTTATTTTCAGTAATTAATAAAAATTAATAGTAAATAGGATAATTTTAGCTTTATCATATATATGAGAGAGTTTTAATTAATTAATTTATTCATAATTTCATAAAGTAATTATAACTTATAGAGTTAATTTTTATTTTTATTCTTTTTTATATAAAAAATTATGGAGAAACGAGTTTAAACTTACCTAAGTATTGGTCATATTAGAATGAATTTAAGTATTGAATCCGACAACAAACATTTAAATAAACACTATTGTAACATATCTAAAGGGTTAAGTTTGTAAACTGAAAATATTTATATCGTCAAATTTATTAATAGATATTCCTATTTATTTATTTTATATTTTTTTGTATACATATAATTGTTTGAATATATAAAAAAAATATGAATATATTATTATGTATTTATATATTGCCATAATGTCTTATATTACTTTAAGTTTGGAAAATAAAGGTTAGAAAATTATTTTACGATGACTGTTAATATATATATATATATATATATATATATATATATATATATATATATATATATATATATGAACTAAGTATAAAATTGAATAGTTGGTAACATTTTTGAGAAACAATGACATGTTATTGTTACATGTCATCTGTTTATGTGATAATTATTTTCTATAGGATATAATAAACTGATTAATGTGAGGATTTATACATATTTAAATAATGCAATACTTTTGTGGAATATGTGGTAGCACCCCCAAGTTTCAAATTTTGAGTGCACTCTTGTCTTAATGTTATTTTATTATTATTATTATTATTATTATTATTATTATTATTATTATTACTGAAGCAGCCTATTGCGTCTTTTTGCAGGTTTTGTTAAAAGCATCATAATTGGTATAGAAGTTATCTATTCACCAATATATTTTAATAGACCAATTCACGTTTTATTCCATACACTTTGATGAAACTTAACTTGACAGGATTTGTCAATAGAATAAGAAATGTGAAGCGATCACCGTCGGACTGGAAAGATGCCGGAGAATTTATAGGACAAGATGTTCTACCAATATTCATAGCAGCTAGATGTTTATTTGGACTCTCACTTTTGCTACTGCTATTCGTCTATAAATGGCGACGAAGACATTTTTCAGTGTATGAAAACATTGAAAACTTTTTGTTGGACATCAATATAAATCCCATTAGATACGAATACAGAGAAGTAAAGAAAATGACTAAAGGTTTCAAAGTGAAATTAGGTCAAGGAGGTTTTGGTTCTGTGTACAAGGGAAAGCTTCAAAGTGGGTTAGATGTAGCAGTAAAGATGTTGAACAAATCCAAAGATAACGGACAAGAGTTTGTTAATGAAGTGGCTACCATTGGAAGAATACATCATGTGAATGTGGTAGGTCTTATTGGATATTGTGTTGAAGGAAAGAGGCGTGGTTTAGTTTATGAATACATGTCTAATGGGTCATTGGATAAATACATTTTCTCTAAAGAAGGAAGTGTTCCTCTAAGTTATGAGAAGATATATGAAATATCTCTTGGAATTGCTCATGGGATGGCATATCTACATCGAGGTTGTGATGTGCAGATTTTACATTTTGATATCAAACCTCATAATATTCTTTTAGATGACAATTTTACTCCAAAAGTTTCAGATTTTGGACTTGCAAAGTTATATCCTACAAAAGACAGATCTATTATTTTAACTGCAGTAAGAGGAACGTTGGGCTACATGGCTCCAGAATTATTCTACAAAAATATAGGTGGAGTTTCTTATAAGGCTGATGTCTATAGTTTTGGAATGCTTTTGATGGAAATGACAAGTAGGAGGAAAAACTCAGATCCTCATGCAGAGCATTCAAGCCAGCATTACCTCCCCTTTTGGATCTATGATCAATTTAAAGAAGAAAAAGATATTGACATGGAAGGTGCTTCGGAAATGGACAAGATTCTAATGAAGAAAATGTTTATAGTTGCACTTTGGTGTATACAATTAAAACCAAGTGATCGGCCATCAATGAGCAAGGTTGTAGAGATGCTTGAAGGAAACATTGAAAGTCTTGAAATTCCTTCCAAACCTTCTTTTTGTCCCCATGAAATCTTTGAACATGATGATACACTCAACTCTGACGAAATATCATGGAGTGATTCAACTAGTTCTAATGTGAATATTGGCCAAAACATGCCTAATCAATAATTGAGAGACCAACACTTGAAAAACAATGTCTGTATACTTCAAATGCAGCAAATTCTCAATCATCTTTGGAACTACTAATTTGATAGGAGTTACTTATTAATATCAGAAAGATGTGTAATTTGAAATGCTCTTTCATGACTTTTTAATGGTGTCTATATTAACAACTAGTTCGTTTATCTTTGAAGTCAGATTAAGTTTAATCTCTTACCTTTTAAAAGAGACTCACTGTTTATTTTCTCATTAGTTTAGAATTTCTTGAAGGAGGTGGTTTTCTAATTTTTAAAATTAAATTCTTGATCAATTAAACTAATGCTACTCCACAAAGATTATTTGATATTTTGATTTTTGGCAATTCAATGGAAATGACAAGACTCCATTTCAGTCACTCTGATATATGAGCTCAAAAATATACTGTGATAATTTTTACATTCACATTATATTATAGTTCTCATCCTGTTGTTAAGACTGGCCTAAAATGTCCATGCTTGACAAAAAAATATGTTAATACCCTATGGTGATAAACTAAGAATAACATTAATATTAGACAAAGAGTAAAAATAAAGAAGAGACTTCAGTTGAAGCTCAGAAGTGTAGTCAAGTTCCACAAAGTGTATTAGACATTGTTTACATGATGGTGGTATATACATATATGGTGGAGTAGTGAAGGGGTAAGTTAAAAAATATTGGAACTCTTCTTACACTAGTTTTTAACACTTTCGCCCACAAGAACTTCACGGATCATATTCTCCAAATTAAGAAACGAAGATCCATGAGGGCCAGAAGCAGCACTTTTTGCCAAGTCCTTCCATTCCATAGCTTTCTCCTTCATCTCTTTACCCTTTTCACCATCCATCAATTCCCTCACAAGGCTCTCTATTTTGTCTCTTGTAACATCTTCAATCTCCAACCCAATCCCCCATTCCTTGCAAGAGAATCTACAATTGGTTTGTTGCTCCGCAAAGAAAGGCCAACATATCATTGGAACACCTCCACACACACTTTCCAACGTTGAATTCCAACCACTGTGGGTCAAAAATCCCCCAATAGCTGCGTGAGCCAACACTTGTTCTTGGGGGCACCAACTAGACAAGAGGCCTCTGTCTTTGGTTTGATCCACAAACTCTGGAGGCAGAACAACGTTTTCACCCCCCACAACATCGGGTCTTATGACCCACAAAAAGCTCTTGTTGCTATAAGCAAGTCCCCATGCAAATTCATTCAGCTGTTCACCTGTCATAACCGTGATGCTCCCAAAATTCACGTAAACAACACTGTTGGGCTCTTTGGTGTCAAGCCACTCCACACACTCAAACTCCTCCTTCCAAAGATTGGACCTAATTGCATTCAAGTCTTCGTCATCAATATTCTTCACGAGTAAATCCAAAGGACCTATGGAATAAACAGGAGGCAAAATAGACGATAATGCTTCCAAAACATCATGCTCCATAGCATCAAACGTGTTCAGAATGATTGCAGAAGCTTGTCGAGCCCTCCCGCACTCCCACTGTAGGAACTCAAGCATAAAATCACCTGAATCTGTGGTCCTAATAAAACTTGGAATATCCCTCAATCGAATTTCCTTGATTCCTGGTATAAAATCGATTGTAGTCTCCAAATACCCATTCGTGAAATAACTTGAATCTACATGTTGGATACAATAAAGTTCAATTAGTTAAACTCATGAACTATATCACCAAACATAAAAAAGTCGTTTGTATGAACTATGTATGTTTTCTTAATATAAAGGAACAATACTCACATAACGTACATGGTAGATTTTCATGTTCCAAACTACCAAACAGTTTGTAATTGTAACAGAAATTAAACTAATTCATTTACCTTTGAGGGGTATTAGGCCCTTTTGAATGAGTTGTTCAAATTGCACATAACACATGAATCCACATGCACTAGGGGTCCAAAACAGCGCCAGTGGGACACCCAATTCTTGAGCAGCATCAAGACTGAAGCTCATGACGCCGTCAGCAACTATGCAAGTCACTGGAGGGGCATCTGAATTATTGACTTTAGTGAGAAGATTTTTCAAGTGAGGCAAGCAAGTTCTTCTAGTGGAGTCACACAGGGAAGGTATATCCTGTGTTGCATCAACAACAGGCTCTGGTAGACCATCAGGAATGGTTTCAAAGCGAAATGAAAAGAGGCCCTTGAGAGAATCAGGACCTCTGGATTTGAGAAGGCGTTTGTGGGTATACTCAGTATTAACAAAGGTGATGTGAAAGCCCCTGAAATGAAGGAGTTTTGCTAGTTTTAGCATCGGGTTTATGTGGCCTTGTGTTGGGTGTGGTATGCACAACGCATGGGGCTTCTTGATTGTGGCTGAAGAAGCCATGTTTGATATCTCTTCCTTAATTTGCGTCTGTTCAAAGGAAAGAAGATGTAAAACAGTTCCACCACTCGGTTATTAAAGGCTAATTTTTCAAGGGAAACGGTTGAAAATTATTACAGACTGGGTCTGATTGATATTTTGAGAGAATCTTTGACATGTAAAGAAGCAAAGACAAAGAAGAAAGAAAGAAGTTTGATAAAAGGAAAGCTGAAAAGGTTGATAATTTAGAAAAATGAGTTGTCTTAGATCACTCTCTTTTGTTAATTTAAACATTTTGCAAAATTTGACTTCAGAATCCTAATCATAAGATGCCGGTGGGCATTACAATAGATCCCTAAATTGTCCTGCTCCCTGCAAGTTAAGGTCTAGGACTTTAAGAATTACGGACGGACGGTCAAAATTCAATAAACATATAATTATTATTTACATATAATATTTTTATTTTTGAAATGATTAATGTGTGTGTATATATATATATATATATATATATATATAAAAGATATTAAAAGAAATTTAAAAACATACAAATGATCACTAATCTCATACGTCATCGTCATTAATTTACAGGAAAACTTTTTTTTTTGTTAACAAAAACTATTTTACAAAATTTCTTATTATTTATATTTTAAAATTAAATTAGATTATATTACTCACTAATTATCTTTTACAATATTAGTAGTTAACAACAATTGAAGAATACTTTATTTTCCGAAAACTGGGAAATAGAAAATAAAATATTTTGACAAAAACGGTAACTTTAAAAGCAAATTATAATAAACATTCTATATCTAATTTGTTTTCGTAGGTTCACATAAAACTCAAATCTTTATTAGTGTACTTCAGATTGAAGACATGTTTAAACCTCTCAATTATAAACCTAAGGACGATAAATAAAATAGAAAGAATAAATATTTGTTTATCTGTTTCAAAAATTTAAGTGTGTAGATTTGATTTAATTAGCAAAGTTTAATAAGTAATATTTAATTCATCAATAATATAAAAGAGATATTAATAAACCCATTTCATTACACATTACAATTATTTATAACTTTAAAATAATAAAAAAATATATCTTATTTGATCATATAGTTGAATAAACTTTAATTTTTTTTTATTTTCTACTTTAAAATAATTAATTTTAAAGTTATATAATACTTTTTATTTTTATTACTTAGCATAAATTTGGATGATAGAAACTAAAATTATTAAAATATGTATAGATATAGATATTCAAAATCACTCATCATAATCACTTTCATTGAGATTTCAGAATTTGTTCATTCATTCTGATTTTATGCCTAGGCAAGTCTTAAAGTCTTAAAGCACACACAGAAAACAAATTAGTTACATATATTGAAGCAGAAAAGGCACGACCAGGGAACCAATAAACTGGAATCAAATCCTCAGTTTCTATCCCTGTCTCTCTCCTTATTCCTCTCTATTAACTGAGAACAACAACATCATAGATCACCCTCAACTGTGTAAGAGCTAAAATAGTTAAAGATAGGTACGTGATTGTCATGAAGTGCATGGTTATTGATTACATGGCATCAGAGGAAGAAGAGAAAGGGGTGTGACCAAAGCCAAAGGCTTTGATGTGGTCTTTGAGGGACCTCTTATGTTTGAAGTCGGAGCCACAAATGCAGAGCCAGCGTTTGCCGCAGTTTTTCTCATGGGTTCGCCAGTCACCTTTGACGGCCAAAGGCTTGGCGCACTTGCGGCACGTGAAGGGCTTGGCGCCGTGCTTCCTCTTGAAGTGCGTCTGAAGGGTGCGGAAGTCCTTGAGAGGCTTCGCACGTGGGTGATCGATGTTGTTCTTGCATCCTCTGGAGCAACAGTAGCAGGGAATGTCCAACAACGGTCGTGGATGAGTTCGCTTCAGCGAGTCTGGGCCTCTGCGATACTGTGACCCGTGCCCCCACATATGCATCTGCCACACAAAAATTTTACACTACAAATCCTTCCTTCACTTTGTTTTCGTTCATTCCTCAATTTTTTTCAAACATGTTTTTTTCTTTCTTATCTCTTCATCCAATAGAATGTCTAATTTTATCTATAAATATGTGCATTTATATTCTCTTCCATTTCTTTTTATGCTCCCTTTTATCTTTTCCTATTGACATGATCTAATTTCATATAAATATGGCTAAACAAGTTCATAAGAAAAAAATATTGATGCAAGTAATTTTATACTATAAGATGATTAATATCTACAATTGAATTATTTAACACCATTTTTATTTGATGAAAAAAAATATTTAAACCTGCTTTTATTCCAAACCAATGTTTTCTCAACATTTTTCCATCATTGGATCAAAATAGATTATTGCAATTGCTATCACATTTGCTCCTTTTGTAACATAAGTTAAGGATAGCTTCATTTAGAAAATGCTTTGCATTATTTTTTATAATATCCTTAATTACAGAAATGTCATTTTTATTTCATGTTATAAAAAATTGCATAAAAATTTATGTTATTTATTTTATGTTTTTTATTTCCTATAAAACTTTCAAAAATAAAGAAGTTAAGTTTGTCAAATGAATCGTTCCTTAAGTTTTAGATGTTCTTGCAATAATGTACGCAACTAAAACTTTGGTCTTATAGTCATTTTACGTCTTTCTTCTTTGTTTTTTATTTAGAGAAAGGGTTAACAGAGGCCAAAAGGGAAACAAGAATTAACGTATTAACGTCTATACACAGACAGTATCAGCAACATCAACTTTTACTAAAACTTCAGTCCTTCATTTAAAAAACATGTCATCATTTCCTGCAAAAGCACTATTATAAAGTAGAAAACAGAAAAACATGAGACATTTTCTAAAATTAGAAACTTTATGTAAAGGTTGATGGAAGCATATAATATGATTTATTCCATTTCTCACACTACGCTTAGAACAGTTACCTAGAAACAGCACTACACATTGTTAACACTGCCGAAGGTTTCACATGAAGAGGTCTTAGAAATTTGAGTAATAAATTTTACTCAAATTCAAGAACTAACTCGTAAAGCAAATTAGTGGACGTGGAATCTTGAAGAGAGGTATCATGCAAAATCTCCGTATATATGAAACAGAAAAAGAAAAAAATGTACCTGAAGATTGTTGTAGCGGTTGAAGGTTTTGAGGCAGACAGGACAAGAGAAATGGCTAAACCCAATGAGGATCTGTTCTTGAGTTGGTATCCAGTAGTTGCTAGGAACTTGAGTAGTGGCATTCACAAATCCATGATTATTGGTGGAGCCACTTGAATTGTTGGGGAGGCCTATGTGTAAGGCCACAGTGACGTCCTCAACTTGACCATGGTATGCTTTAGGGTTTTGGTTTTGTAGCAAAGCTTCTTGGGGAGATGAACCTAGGAAGCTACTAAGCAGAGGCAGGGGCTGAAGCTGGTTTTGATTCATGTCAAGGTAAAGAATGAAATTATTGATATGATTTGCATGTGAATGAGGCAGGGTATAATAGCTACATAACATGTACATTATATATGTATATATATTCGATGGGTCCATGGCTCTCTTAATTGTGTAATAAAAAATAACGAGAGTCAAGTTAGATTTTATCAAATTTGAGGAGTTTAATAAGGACTGGAGCAACATTAAATAAATTGGCATGTAATGAAACTTGGAAAGGAAGAAGAGTGAAAGAAATTGTGTGATAGGTGGCCAGAGAATATTACTGTTGAATATGAAAATACCCTTTGTTGTGGGGGTTATTATTTTCTCCTGCAAGTCCACTTTGTCTATTTTAAGCTTGATTAGGATATACCTTAAATTCTGTGGCCCATGCTCCCTAAACGTAGAAAGAATTGCAAGCAGTGGGTTTCAAACACAGGGAAACCCATTTTGCTCTGTCAGACACGCACCAAAATCCTATACAGACTGAATTAAAACTCAACGACTAATTCTAGACACTTTTTTAGGAGATTTATTTTGTTAAACAACTGTCAAATTCTAACTTATGATGCTTCTGTCACACAATTATAGTTCTTATCATCTTCAATAGTATTTTGTAATTCAAATATAACTATTTTGGTATTAGAAAGGATTCACAGCCCGTGACAGCAGAAGAATTTGTGTTTATTGACACAGAATATTATATTTATGATTACGATACTACAATTGAAATCATATATCAGAATTGTAATTGTTCTCAAAATTCGTTTCATATACGAGTTTCTCAAGGACAATAATTTGGTGAATTTATTATACATTTAAGGCACATCAACAGAATTGGTAGTGCAATAGTACAAACTACATATAGTATTACTCTATAATCTTCAAAATTTGTGGGGTCAGAATTCCATCTCTCTAAAACTTTCCTCCCTTCCTCCCTGTCCTAGCTTAACTAATTACTAGACATTACATTTACACGACTTACAGATATGGAGCTTGTTATTCTTGTGTTGTTTAAGTTGGAAATAACCACTCCAAATTTTTCAATCAATGTCTCCCAATTCAAGTATTGGTTAAAACATAAGTGGACATAGTTCAATATTGATGGATATATTTTCAAGTGGTATGCATATATTTTTATTAAAATAGCATTTGAGAAAGACCAAAAGGATTACATTACTCCCTAACTTTGACAAAAAGTGAACGGTATTCCCCTAATAATCAAGTAATAGATTTAAGATTAAAGCATGAAAACTTCTACTGTGATTGTATATAGTGCAGTAACAGGTGATCAATTAGAAGATGACATTTATATGATATTGACCAATATAACTGAAGTAAATATACTAGGTCAATTGCTTACTAAAAAGTTAGTATTATTCAAGTGAGTCATTTGCTAACACTTTTAATCAAAGAAAAAGAGTTGAAGTCATAGACAACCACGTAGATACAAGGTTTATAACATTTTTAAACTTTATAATTATTGTATATAACATTTAGTCATTATAATAGGTTAGAAAATTTATGTGGAAATCTAAGTCTCATATGTCTTAATGTTTTAGGTTAAAAATAATGTCAATCATTTTTTTTTAATTATGTTCATATTTCATTGGTGTTATCTCTCTAGTAAATAATAATGAAGGTAACATAGTATCATGTTCTTCCTAATTATGAGACTGATATTGATTCATGCATATATGTATAAACAAGTTTCTAACTCTTTATCTTTGATATCTTGACTTAGCAAAAGTAACAATTTTCTACTTTCCAAACACACATGGTTCACATAAATTAACTTCTACCTTTTTTAGTTCTAAAATTTTTTTCTTTAAGACTAGTATCTTCGTACTTTTTTCGTTCATGTGATCAAGTCTTTAGTGTCACATAATCGATAGATGTGTAAAGTTTATTGTTCTGAAAATTAAACCGAACCAATTGATTCAACTGGTCTAGAAATCAGACTAAAAACTGATTTGTTACTTCCAAATAATTGGAATTTAATTAAACCGGGATAAAACTAAAAAAGAAAAAAAAACAAGACAAAATGGGAAAACTTGGAAAATCGAGTAGGTTTTTGGGCTCAAACCAACTTTGGTAAAAAAAAAGTAAGATAATTTTTTTTTAATATAATTTCTTTATAAAAGATATAATATATTTTAGTTTTTTATCTCATGTTAGTTATGTCAGACTAAAATAAAAGTTATTTTATTATATTTTTATTTTATTTTAATATTTATTCATCTTAAATCCTATAATGTATTTTATATTTCTAAGTTTCATCATAATATATGGTGACCATGACAATAACCTTTATTATTATTTTTCTTTTGTAAAATAACATTGTTTCAATGAACTTATTATATATCTGTTATATTATAAAAATATTATTTTATTAAATCCAGTTGGACTCCGGTTAAACATTTAAACACCGAACCCATATCTTTATCGGTTCAGTGACCGATCTCGATTTTAAAAATATTGTTAAAGTTTCATCATCTCGCTAGACAAAATTTTCCAAAACTTCTAGTTCTAAAATTTTTTATCATGTCCTTGCAAAGAGAAGCATGGAAAGATATACCAAAATTTATAATCTAATATTCTAACTTATTCTCAACACAAGAGATTAATATATCGTCAATGTCTTCTTGTGTCGCATTCATTGTATTACAATGTCTCTTTTCTTTAGGAGCAATACATTGGTTTCTAAAGTAATTATTCTGTTGACAATTCCAACAAGTAATATTCTTGCAAGGTTTGGACTATTCTCGCTTCTTAGACTTTGATTGCTACGCCCAAAACCTTGCTTTCTATAGGCTTTCTACCTCTACCTTTGGTGCTTAATAAAGAACTTGTTAATTTTCCAATGTTCCTCCTACAAACATCCTTATTAAGGATTAAATTCTTAATTTCTCCAAAGGTTAATTTTGTAATGTATTAAATACTGTCATGAAAGTTTTTTACCAACTAACAGACAACAAAGATAGCAACAACATAGTTTATACTTCATCATCAAATTTGATATTAACTGACATTAATCTTGATAATAAAAAATTAAATTCATTCACATGATATCTAACACTAACACTTTCATATTAACTAATTGACGAATCAATAATACTTTTGATGTTGATGATTTCTCGTACATGTTTGATGACATACTTATCAAATTATATGTAATTTTTCTCTTTGATGAAGTTGTAGACAACATTCTTTGTCAATTTTAATCTAACGATGTCTAAAACTTGTCGATGCAATAAATCCAAAAATTGCTTAAGGTATCGTTTATAATTTATTCTCAAACAACAACCAGGACAACTTCTTATACCAATAACCTTCAATATATATCTTCTAATATCTAAAATCAAATCATTTCCATCATTATGTATTTAGTCAAAATAATCTACCTCCATAATTATTTTAAATGATAGTTTTCTTCTAATTAAATTTATAATTATACGATTATTTATAATAATAATAAAAACTGACTAGATACAATAACTCTTCGTATTCAAATCTTCCGGTTTGCTTAATTATATCTCTCCATTTAAATATTTCTTTGGATAATATCTCTAAGGTAAAAACATATCAACTTTATAAAATAATTGTATTTATTATCTTTTTGCTCGTAATATTGCCGATTGGGAACATATATAAACTAGAGTAAAAAATGAAAAATAAAATTAAAAATATATGCATTCAGACATTCGTGATAAAATTCGTTATAAATAATATATATATATATATATATATAATATAACATAAAAATCATTTATGCATTAAAAAAAGAGAAAAGAAATGTGTGAGAATTAAAAAAAAAACATGTAACACAGATAAAAATAAAAATAGAAAATGTAATATACACCAGAAAAAATATAACTAAGTTAAAAGAAAAATAATTATTTTAAAAACTAATAAATATAAAAAATATGGATACCTGTATTTCTATAATGAACATGAATAATGATTAAAAATTTGATTTTATATTTTTTTTAATTTATAAAAATAAAATTATGTTTAGCGATATTAGTTTTATTTAAAATTATAATTTGTATTATAATTTATTTGAATTTATATTTTAAAAATATTAATGTTTTATACTAATATTTTATGATATAGTTTTATTTGAATTATGCTTTAAGATAAAAAAAAATAAGTTTATATTTAAAAAAATAATTTTAAATAATGTATATATATATATATATATATATATATATATATATATATATATATATATAGATTTGTACGTAAGTAGTGAAGTGTATTTCTTTAAAAAGACTCTGAAGTGGATTTTTTTGTTTTTTTAGGAATAACGGGTATCTACTATATATCACATCTGTTCCCATTGTCATCCCTGAGGTAGTATAACCCTTACTTCCCAACTTCAAAAAAATCACTTTTTAACAATATTTTTAAAAATATATCAATAAATAATGCTAGTTTTAATTATTGTTTTTTTTATGCCTCATCTGTCCTCACCACCTAGTTTTTGTTTTATTTTTCTTGTTTTCCCTACCTTCTCCCATTAAGTAAAATCTTTGCACATTGCCATAGAGGATTAAGAACAAAAAAACGGACGAATCAAAATTTGCTAGTAAATTTACCCTTACCCCACAACAACAAAAAATAAATAAATTTCAAATAAAATCATTACAATTTTTATAGAACAATTGTATTATTTAAAAAAATATCATGTTAGACTTTATTTTAGGCATAATAAACATTTCGCCAACCGTGATATAAACATGGGAAATTAAAAAAATGTCTTATCTGGGGGCTCTGGTTAATTTCTCTATTTGATGATGTAATGGGAGAAAGTGTAACTTAAAAAGAAAATAGAATTAAGTGGGAAAAATGAAGATCCTTGAAGAGAAGGAAAAGAGAAATGAAGACAATCTCCATGAAGTAGATTAGTCCAACTTTTGAATGCGATAGCTGTGGGGAACACAACTATCTGATGAGAACCATTATTTCCTAAAAGCTACTGCATGTGGACCAAAAAAATGAAGATATGATCATGTGGAAAAAGATCAAGAATTAATGTGATAAATTTTAATTTGAAGATTATACAGTTGAAACTTAGCAGGTATATATATTTATCAGTTCCTCCCTTGGGTATTTGAACTTTCTGAAGTTATAACTACTCCACCTGCTGCCTCGGACGAGGTACGTTGCTGAGTCTGTGAGTCTGATCACAAACCATAATAAACAAATAGTCACTTTGTGTTCAACATTCAGAAGTAAAGAATATATATGAATGTTAGTTAACCAATGCATTAGGCTACTGATTCGAACCCTATACATGATGAGTATGTTTGACATGTAAAGCAAATCAAACTAAGTGTACCTTTTGCTTGTTGGAGGAAGTGAAAATAGTACAGTTTTGATTTTCATTCTCGTTTGATAAAACACAAATTATACATACTTAATATAACTCACTTTCACACGGTAATAGCAAACAAATTTTGTAGAGCACAAGTTGTAAGCTCTTTGTGTGTTGTAGACTCATATGATTAATTAGATTAAGAAACATCGAATTGTTTTTTCTTGAATGAATGCAGAAAATACATGGAGAAGAGGTTACAGGTGATCTGGCAAAGGTAATTTGTTGTTGTTACTAACATACATTTGTCTAATATTAAAAACTTACAGCAGTGGTAGTATGTGTCAAACATGCACTGTGGGCCAATGCATGGAAGCAAGACCATTTGACTGGTTCTTTAAAGAATTTAACCACCACAATATTTTTTTTTCCTACTGAAACCACATGCATTCACTGTTACTTTACATGATGACCCTCTCCCTCTGTCATGACTTTCTTCCACATTGACCCATACATTATACGGTTCATGGCACAACCGAGACAGCTAATTCACATGGGGCTGGGGTTGCCCATGTGGACCCCTATGGCCACATGTTACAGCCAAATCATAATATATATTGTGTGTCAGTAAGTGCATCATAATTCATAAATATCTGTGCACCTCTCTCTTTCACTCCACTCTCCTGTGTGGCCATGTGAATGTATATATTTAAGTCACACACATATAAAATAGAAATTCAGGATATCCTACATCAAAAGGGTAAATAACCATGGAATCAACGATACATACATGCATTAAAAATACTTACTGTTATTTAACTATGTATAAAATCTTTTAACTGTATATATGTTCATTCAGTAAAGTCTTAAATTTGAATCAAATCAATTTAGTAGAGAAGAGAAAAGGAAAAGTACCACTAGGGGAAGGAGGGGGTTGCCTTATTGGTAGTTGTTGCAATTGAGGTGGTGGACGATATGCAGAAAATGAGCCTTCCATTGGCGTAGGGTAGTATAGATAGGAGGGTCCAGCTGGTATGCGATGTGGTTGGGGTGTAGAAAAGGTACCTCTTGGTGCTTGCACAGAATAGCCATAGTAATATGGGGAACCCATGGTGGAGGATGATGGTCCATAGAGTTGTTGGTAGTATTGTGGTGGCTGAATTTGTGGGTTATACAATGTGGCCTGTGCTCACACAAATATGCACAATCATTAAGCCAATGTTACACAACTGTTGTCCATTATTTGTTATTTGTAACCAACCTGACATCATTAAAAAATAAACTACATGTTCTTAATTGATTGGAGGGAGAAAAGATGCTTACTTGATGGTACCCATAATCAGGGGTGTAGGTAGGGTAGCTGCAAAGAGATTTGAAAGCAATTTAATCACCAAGCAAATATGGAAGGAAATACGTTAATGCAGTGGTGCATTTGTTTCTATGAGAAGCAATGGCTCAAAATGGAAGACTCCTATTGTTGTGGACTGACACTGAACTTAACAAGTAAGGTTTTCCCAGCAAAACCAGTGTGGAAAAAAAGCCATTAATATTAGTTGTCATGTGGGACCCCTAAAATAATCAATGTGTAATGAGAGTTAATGCTATTGCGTGTGCCTGCTTTGTGGTATGTATGATATGGTATGATATGATATGATATGATATGATATGCATGGCCCTTAAGATTGAATTAGTTATGACTGATTCAGTGATAGGGGTCTTTTTTGGGGCTCAGGCATTATGAACATGTTGTTGCCCCCATCAAGCAGAAAAGGAAGGAATAAAGCAATATATATAAAGAATGGTCAAGGTGGCATCCAATGATATGAAATTTTGCATGCACACAGAAGTATAAACTATGCAGTCTCGTTGTAACTGACAGAGTAGAGTTTAAGGAAGGAAATTTCTGATAGAACGTATAAACAATTATCAACTATTATTATTGGTAGAAGTTTCTAGGCTATTCAAGTAGTTGAACAACCCGCTCAAAATCTTAATATTTTATTTTGCTATAATATCTTTAGCTTTACGATAAAGAAGAGACTATATATATAGTAAAATTCAATACCCTACTTTGTAGAAACTTAAAAGAGAAAAGATTCGGCATCGGTTAATATATCACATTCAAAACCTAATTAACATATTTCAAAATAACTTTTCTTTACTATGGAAGAAAAAGAGGATGAATGACCTGAGAGAAAGAACAAAGGAGAAAAGTTGTAAGTAGAAACAAATAAAGTAACACCGTTTATCTTCTACACTTCTTTGTACTAGCTTTCTGCGGTTCTATTGCATCCAAAAACTTAAGTTTGTATACTGTGTCTTCTACTCGTACATCCCTCAGAAAACGAAAGAAGTTAACCTAAGAGTAATTTCCCTTCTGTTGTTGCTTATCTGTTGATGGTTATTTTAAGAGTTCTTTTTAATACCAACTAATACACCTCATAAGACAACAATAACATTGCTGGTGAGAAAATGACTTGATGGTACAAGACATGCAAAAGTACCGAGAGCTTAGGGATTTTATTATGTACAAGATTATAAAACAAATTTATTGACGCAGGACCACTATATATCACACAAAAAAAATAATGTACATGCATTGCCACGGATTAAATATACATTGATTTGTACCTATTGCACCCACATTTCTACTATTACCATAGATGCATACATCAATTACATAAGTTACAAAAGTAATGTTTCTCATCGATTGGTAAAATCTACAAGCACCCTATCTTCTTAGGCCTTCTTTAATTTATGACATTAATAACTCAACAATTGTCACTGGATCACTCACAACACTCCTCTTTAAAAGACAAAAACCTAACCTCTCCACATCTCTATTTTACCCCTATGTAAGGTTATATTTTCTTCCTTTCAAGTTTCAACATACAAAGAAAAGCTTAAATTGCAGCATATAATTTTGAGTAATATTTGTCTTTCTTTTAAAACATGTTTTTGCAATGAGTAATCTCTGTCATACACATGGATAGACAGATAATCTGACAAAGTATATCCTTTCTTTTGATTATGTTTTTTAGCGTAATAAAAATCTGTCATTTTGAAATGGTTCTGTTTTTTTGTTTTACAAGTTGATGTATAAATATGCAATGTAGTGGTTGATCAAGACATGAGATTGGAGGAAATGCAATTGATTAAGCTTATAAAGGGGGTAGCAGTTAAAAAACAAGAGAGGAAGCAAAGTAGGGGAGGAAATGCACATGATGGTTGTTGAAAGTTTGGCCTTGTGTGTACTTTTAATGGTGATATGATACGTGAGGATTTTCACGCTGTCACCAAGACCTACTGTAATTGGGGGGGAGCAGTCAAGCGACATATGTAGACAGCAATGTGTGCGTCTATAAGCAGTTCTCAATTAATGCCATGGACCAGTTTCTTTGACTGTGAGTGACAGACATGGGTAATAATAAATGCCCACAGTAAATGTACAAAGCTAACTCACTCACCCATATGGCGGGTACACCAGCGGTGGTGGTGGCGGCGGCGGCGGTGCTAGTGCCGGTGGTCCTGCCGACGGCACACCACTGTATGAAGCTGTTCCTGGTGCTCCTCCCTGGAATGTACCTCTTCCTGCATTACCACCCCACAACACAACCTCAAACTTGATCAAGGAACAAAAAATTGTTATATTTATGTATAACAATAATGTGATATTATGATAATGATGATGTTCTTAACATTGGAAGATAGAAAAAGCAGATAAAATAGTTAACCTCTTGGTGGTGATGGTCTAGGTCTTCCTAGAGAAGCAATGTTGCAATTTGCTCTTCTTCCATCTATCACTGGGTTTGGATCAGCACATGCCCTTCTAGCTGATTCTGGATCACGGAATGTTACCTGTTTATGTAGGACATGTTTTGTGTGTAATGAGGATTAAATCAAACAGCACACTTGTTGCAGTGAAAGAGAATCAAGTTTGAGGCAGAGTAAAGAGTTAGATAGATAGAGATAGAGAGAGAGAGAGAGAGAGAGAGAGAGAGAGAGAGAGAGAGAGAGAGAGAGAGAAACATACGAATCCGTAGCCTTTAGATTTTCCTGTGTTCTTATCAGTGATAATGACAGCTTCAAGAATGTCACCAAACTGCTCAAAATATTTGCGCATTTCTTCGGTTGGAGTCTCCCAAGCTAGGCCTCCAACGAAGACCTTAGTGAACGTTGTATCTCCGAACTGTGATCGGTAATGTGGGTAAGCCATGGTGTCAAAGGAAGAAAAGGGTGTCCTTGTTTATGCATGAAAGCTAGTTAAGCTCTAAAGGGTCTCCTTGTTTCTTCTGATCTCTACTTATTGACTTGTCACTGCCATTTTTCCTTCTGGTTTTCTGCTCTCTCTCTCTCTCTCTGTGACCGTGTCTTGTAGTTGTCCTCCTCCACCATTCAACAACGCCCCTTCACGACACAAGAATCATTGAATTTGAAGAGGCTGAGGGAAAGAGGTGGTGGGTATGGTTTATGATGGTGTGGTATCGTTATTATTTGATGGTTGTTTGTGACAGAGGAGTTGGTTAATTAAAACAAAAATATATATGAAAAGGAAAAAAATAAAATAAATAAAAGGGAGTTGTTTTATAAGAATATATACTATTTGTTATTTGAAGAGAAAAGGAAAAGGGAGTGAGAAAAAGGGTGGTGGTGGAGGAGAGAGAAGGAGATCTGACAGCTGCAAACTCTAATTTGCTGGCCAAAGAGAGAAGGAAGAGAGGGTGTGGGCTTTGTAGTATATCACAAGTGACAGCTGCGTTACTATCTCACTTGAAGTGTTTCCCCTCTGTCTCTGCATTAATATACTCTCCCACCATCCAATCAATTTTCCGTTTTGACTTAAACAACTCTTATTTCCTTTGTCCTTCTCTTCTTCTCCCCTCATTTCTCATTCTTTCCCCAACACATTCACACCATCCTACCCTATCTTCATTTTTAAACATGGATCTTATTCGCACCTTTGTAAAAATAAATGTTTATCCCTGCTAATAAACAAAAGGGTAGGAAGGATTAGCTCCAATAACGTCACAAATTATAGTTTCAATATTTATTTAGAACAAGTATTTAACCAAAGTTTGAATATATGTTTGTATTTAATTAGCAAAGAAAAATTGTGAGAAAAAAAAACAAAAACAAAAGGGTATTGGTAAAAATGTTAGTTTTCCAACAACCAAAGAAATGGCCCCTCTGATCACGATCAGATGGCTCTTTTCACATGAAAAGAAGAAATTGTGTGATGTATATAATAAGTATGAAGGGGTGCGTGCTGCGGTTGGCAGCTTTGGTTTACAGACATGGAATGAAGCAGATGAAATTTTTACTCAGTCCGCTTCCTTTTTCCAAAATGTTTGTTGCAGAAAAGTTATAGGCATATGAGATATCAATTTCAATATCAATTTGACTTAACTTTTGTTGGTTAATTATATTTGATCATAGATCATGTGCTCGGTAATTAACTGGACCAATCATGGTTACACCTTTTTTCTTTATGTTGGGACCAATGTATATCCCACATGACCCCAAATCCGCTAATCATAAGCTATTACCAGCAAATCAACCTAAATGAATGGGAACAGTTACAGTTAGGTTTGAAAGGATATACTTTTGTTCTTTATTACAATTCATTTATCTATATATTTTATTTTGGGTTGAAACTTGGAGTTGTTGATTATTGCTGGATTGGAAGCCATGTTCAAGGAGGCCATTATGCAGCTGCGATGAAAAGAAAATTAAAGACCGTTAAGAGCTATAAAATAGATCCATCACCATCGTATCATTCCTTCATCAATCGCATCATCAGAGAAGTTGTTAATATCAAGCTAATATCCCTCTTATTTTATTACTAATGGTAGACCATTATCTTGTCCACAACCCACCACTCTCCTGCCACTAAATCAACAAGTTAAATCAATTCAAGTATGATTTTAATTTATCTTATTTTATGCCCGTCACCTGCTAAAGTCTTGGTTGGATCTTACATATGTTTGACACTCTCCTATTGTTGCAGAACTTGTCATTAATGATAATATGCATGGAAGATTATACACAAACTTGTAATAGTATAGTGAAAATAATGTATACAACAAATAAGAGACAACCTTCCTCTTTTAAGGTTCATCTTATTCATTGGTTTTGTAGGATGAAATTGAATCTAAACTTAAATTTTAAAATTGTATATTATTCAATTATTGGATAATCTGCAAATTCGAACTTGCACACTTTACATTCGAATGGTTCAGTCAGGAACTTGAACTGTGTTGGATTACAGGTTCAGTCAAGGTTGAATTACAGCAAGTTAAATACAACAAGATTGAATTTTTGAGGTGGGATCTAGGCTTTAACTCAGGAGTTGATCCAAAATGATCATATATAATTTGTCTACATATGACTTAATGGTAGTGAGCGAAGCCAACTAGGAGCACACACACACACAGAGACCCCTACAAAGAACAGAGTAACAAACACATACACACACAGAGAGAAAGAAAGAGGCAGAAGGAGTCATTATCTAGCTTGTTGCCAGCGTTAGGGACGAGGAGACAGCTATAAGGACCCTGTGGTTTTTATGTTAAAAAAACCCTGCAAAACAAACGAGTCCGTGAACTGGCAGTCCTCTCCACGTGGGGTCCTATCAGTGTTGAAAAACTATGAGCTGGATTTCCATCTACTCTCTTTTATACTCGAGGGATTTTGGGAAGAACTTTCACATTATTTATACATGACCCCCCAACCTGGCCTTCATCAACCAACAACACCCACCAATCAATCTTCATTAACCCTTCCAATATCATCTCTTGTTTTCTTTCCTATATACATGGTTTTAGCTCATAAACCATGCATTCATATTCTCCTCTTAATTCCTCCTCATACACTTCCCTTTTTGGGCTCTCTTGTTTCTCTTCATCACTCCCAAATCATGGTTTCTTCGTTTGGCCTGCATTGACTCCAGAAAGTGAAAGCCACGAACATTATCTTGTTTATCACTACCACCATGTTCAACCATCCACTCTTCATAACACCAAATCACCACAATTGTCAACTTGACTACTTCATACATAATTTATAAACATAAATGCATATATTCTCTTCCCTTTCGCTGTCATTTTGGCTAATGAGATTCAAACACTTAACTTCGTTACCTTTTTGTCACAAACTAAGATAAAGACCTTTCGCAATCTAATCAGCTAAAGATAGAAGCTTCCGTAATGATGTCTAAAATTGATTATACCTAATGACAAATTTTGCTATGAGATTCAGCTAGATAGAGGAGACAGATTCCGGGTAGTAGAATTTGAGGGTGGGAAGTCAGTAGGCCTCTAGCAATTGGGGCTTCTCATATGCATGATTGCAACTGTAGCTAACAAATGTGGAGAGGGTTTTAATTATTGCAAAGTTATTATTTGGTGCACAACTCAATATTCAACCTCACAGTCCCAAGCTTGTCCACTAATGTACAGTGACTTGTATAGTATAATGCTGCAACATCAACATCACAATGCAATTTAAATGAATAGCAGGCGATTCAGATGTATTTGATGTGTCTCAATCTCATTTACCTATGAAAAAAACAAAAATTAACAGGACCTTGTGTAGGAAATGGGACTGTGAAAATCTAATCTACCCTCGTTATGTATTTGGTCATCAAAAAATGGGAAGATGTACAAGTTATTCTTGCCAATCATAAAACCATTCTAAACAGTTGCTCTTGGCAATCATAAAACCATTCTAAACAGTTGTTCTTGGCAATTATAAAACCACTGCAAACAATTTCCTTGTTCTTTTGGCAGACCAAAAGTAAAAGGAAATAAATGAAAGCTTGAATTATTGAGACATGATCCACGTTACCAACTTCCAATCTCCATGGTCCTCTAATGAAGTGAGGCTGGCTAATAGCCCTAGCTAGTCCCCAGGAGGTCATGTACTACTTTTCTAGCCCAAACAGGAAAAGGGCCAAAATAATATGTCATATACTTGCAGATATATCAGTCTAAGAGAAGCTTAATTTTATATTGACCAAATCAATTAAGTATCGTGTTTAGTTTGTGATTTGAAAGTTATTAAACAGAGATATACACATTTCAATGTATAGAGAAGAAACTATTCTGTCTTATTGGACTGAAAGTAAGTTATGTCAAATGAAGTTTCGTAAAAACACACACTAAGTGACTCTATGTGTATAAAAATGAAACAGAAATTTTGAACTCTAGTCTTCTCTTCAGTGAAGATGTGATATATTATGTGAAAATGCAACGGGACGTGAGAAGAAGAGAACGACACTACAAGAATATAATTTCATTTGATAATGTTAAGTTTGGGGAATTGTGTTGCATCATATGCCATCCACTTCATAATTTAACCAAAATTGGTACCTGACTCAAATTTTAATGTTCCATGCCCAAATTAACTTTTGTGGAAGGATTGATTTGGAAAAGAAAGAGTATATATTTTTTGTTTTCTATTGTGATTAATAATTACAAAAATAGTTTTTTTTTTCGAATTTGATCAACAAATAATGAAACAACTGGTAGATTTTTTATGCATGCAAGAGTTTTAAATAGATAAAAAATATAAATATAAATAAAATTCATTTGTTTAATTTAAATGTGTCTTAAGAAATAAAGTATAAAAGGAGATGTCTTTATTAAAAAAATATTTTTTTATTTTATTACGCTGAAATAAATTAAAGATGACAAAATTGAACAATAATATCTGAAAAAAGTGGCACATATGAGATGTCTGATGTAGACAAAGTCATGTGGCGCATTGAGAATAGCTAAATAGAAAGTCTTCTCTCAAAGTCATTTGACACATTGGACAAAAAAAGTGGATGGAGAAAGGTTTTGTTGTTCCCGTGGATAAAGAAAGCTACTCACTTTTAAGAGTGATGACTTGAAAGTTGAGAAATTTAATGTATAGAAATTAATATTCTGGCATTTTCACCATTATTAGTAAATATTTTGTCAGGAAAAACGTGTAAAAATTTCAGAAAGTGTGATTTAAAAATAATGAAATATGTTTTCATTTATAATTTATTTCAAAATATTGATTTTATTCTTTCTATAAAATTTATAGCCTTTAAATCGCTAAATTTTAATAAAAATGTGTGCCTTTTGTCCTTCATAACAGACTGAAATTAAATTTGTTTTGACGAATATAAAGAACAAAAAACATATAAAATCTTAAAATCAATGATTCAATTTCTGAAAATTAGTTTGTAGTATTCTGATGAGAAATCATCTATATTAAAAGAAGAAGGCCACCTTATTAAAAGAAGAAAAAAAAACAAATCTATATACGTGTATTCAATTATCATCTCAAACCCAAGTAAGTTCTCAAAACTCAATTTATAATTTTAAAATGGTTATAATTTAAACAGATTTTTTATATTTCTTCTTAAATGGTTTTAATAAATTGAAGTAACCCAGTTTCAATTCCGTAATTGTGTTTGCAGTTCGAAGAGACTATGGGATGGTCCAAAAACAACACGGTTCAAGATGCGGGCTTTTGATTTGATTTAAGGGCTCAGGAAGTTGGATCATTTTTTGCTGAACCAATGTCGTGAATTCTGAGCCCAAAAATAATTCAAAATTGGCAGGCCCACAAACTGGGTGGGTCACATGGTGCTTGGACTGAAACCAGTAGTCTACAAGATTTTTCATTTTACAAAAATCATAGACATTTAAAAAGTTAATATAATTTATTTAACAAAAATATATCAAAATGGGGTGGTGGCGCAGTTGGCTAGCGCGTAGGTCTCATAGCTTCTGAGTAATCCTGAGGTCGAGAGTTCGAGCCTCTCTCACCCCACACTTCAATTTTTATACTTGTTTTGCTATTTAATTTTTATAATTTTATGTTCTTCATTTTTATTTTACTTTTTGCTATTTATTATTTATAATTTATGTTCTTTTGGGTAAGTACACTATCACATTGTTGTTATTAAATAATAAAAATTATTAAATATCATTTATTTATATGATATTACGGAAATACAAAACTTATATATAATATTATAATCAAAATAGTCAAATTGAGTCAACTCGAAACTAATCATCTAATATGTTGCTTATGGGGCTAATCAATTAAACTATTTCAAATAGTGGTTTTGTCAAAATATAAAATTTTCACCTATTTTAAAATAGATATACAAATCAATCTATAATATATAAATATCATTCCCACAAACGGTGATGTTGATCTATCTCCTTTGGGGTGGATTGTAATAAAATAGAAAGAGAAAGTGATAAGAAAAGATGTGTCAATGCATATTAAATGTGGTAGGTAAAAATTAATTGACCTCTGAATTTTGCCACCATCAAACAAGAACCTATAACTAATTTCAGAGTTTGGCAGGTTTAATTCTTCACATGATCATGAAATGATAACTGTTGGAATGTTACCTACGCTATCAAATTTTATTTTCTTTTAACTTTTATACCTTATCCATAACATTACTCCCTTCAAATTGTTTTGCAAATTCAACTGCTTCAAATATTATTAGGATAAACTATGTGTTGCATCCTTTAAAATTTTAAACATATTAAATATGTTTTTTTTTTACTTTTAATAAGTTAGTTTAACAATTTTCAACTTTTATTTTTCAAGTGTAATCAGCTTTTGAATTAAAATTTTTGAACAAAACCATGGTGGAAATAGTACAAAAATTGAGTTTAAAGAATAACAAAAGAATTATAAAAATCCATTATCATATATCTTCTATTGATTATTCGTGGCATTCAGTTTTCGTGTGAATTATGTTCTTTTTAAACGTCAATTGAGTCCATCTAGGTGAATCTAGGACAATTTTATATCTTGAATCAATAAAATAAACATTTCAAAATTTTATTTTGGAATCGAAAACGATAAATATTTTAAAATAACTGAAATTAATACAAATTTAAAAGATGAAGGATAAATTATTTAAAATATAAAATATCAAACTACAAATTATAAATAAGATAAAAGCACTATTAATTAGTTAGTTAATAATTATATTTTAATTATAAGGAATCAAAGAAAATCATAAAATGCCCAATACAAAATTCAAATACAGATGAGAGTAGATTGTAGGATTGAATATAGGTGAGGATGAGTTTAATATAAATTTTGTATTGAATCTAATTAAATTTAGTTGGATTGGATTTATAATTGACTTGGGTTATGGATAGAGCTACGTCAAAAGAAAGTCATTTGTTAAAATAAATCTCAAAATAACTATTTGAAATGTGTTTTAATAATTATAAGATAATGACACTATTTGCAATAAATACTTAAATAATAATAATAATAAAATATAAAATTATTTGTACAATAAAATTATTAAATAGATAATATTTTATTGTATTTACTATATAGTCTAAATTGAATTCATTAAATTTAAAATTCATAAATTTATTATCAAACTTAATTATAATCAGAATGTAATTAAATGAAATTTAATCTAGGATAATAATTTAACTCAAATTTAAAAAATATAAATAAATTAAATAATATTTTTATGTTTTAGAATAAAAGTATTCTAATTTCGTATCTGGTATAATAATATCCATTATATTATTTACTTTAAAATTCTAATTTATAATTGTGTCTTTAAAAAATTATTCTGAAGGGTTTAAGAAAAAAATTGTTTATAGATTATATTTACTTTGAATTTCTAAAACTACATAAGGTTTATGAAAGTATATAAAATTTAGGATTTTGAATAAGTTTATAAGATGGATACAAGTGCACACATTTAAGTGAAACTGTTTAAGGTGAGAAAATGTATGGAAGCGTTCCCTTTAATGTATGAAAAATCATTTAATGTTTTGCATTTACTATTACGTCATACTCAGAGTGAGTTTTTTTTTTTTTTTCTTTTCTCTGCTTGCCCCTTCAAATAATGCTTCATATATTATTAATAATATAAATACAAATTATTATTATTATTATTATTATTATTATTATTATTATTATTATTATTATTATTATTATTGTTAAAGACTTATTAAATAAGAATAATAAAATACATTGATTTTAATAATCTTTAACTAACAATAAAAAAAATATTGTTGGTATTTCCTTTAAAATGATGTTTTTTCATGCTTCTTGATGAGCATCCATTATGGACCCATTGTTCCTCTATGAAAACTTGATACGAGGGTCCCTAATCCCTATTGATAAACGGTTTATGGGTGTAGAGTTGAGAGTTATGTAATTAATTATGATATGCAACAACACATGAATCATAATATTTTTTTTATTGGCACATATGAATCATATGGTTTGATCCAAGAGGACAACACAGCAAAAACTAGTCATTTTGTCTCTCTCTCTCTCTCTCCGTCGGTCACAAAATTCAGAGTTTTGATTTAACAGTACAAACACTCTAAAAACCTGATTTGCCAAGAAGATAGCCAAGGAATCCTTATCAGTTTGTACAAAATGTTTTTCTCCCTATCACGAGTAGCTCTGGTTTAAGACTATTACTACTAAACACCATGAATTCAATTGCAATTAGTGATGGTTAAGCCTGTCACATGCAAAGATGATATTCTGGGACATGATGTTCTTTGGCAACCAAATTAAGGTGACATGTTGGTTTCTGGTGCAATAATTCATTAGTTGAACAAAGACACACGCAACTCTCTTATAGTGACGTTTACAAAGCTGCACTCTCTTCTTCAATAATGAAAGCAGTTGAAGGAATTGTTGTTAAGTGGTGGTATGAAAGTGAATAAATGAATCTTAAGGGTACGTATGGCCTCCATTTGGCCCAAACAATAAATGAATATGATCTACATGTGCTTTAGTGATGTGGTGGACTTCAGCATAAAATAGGTATTCAATTATTAGTGTGTAATAACATACCAAGCCTTCTTTTTTAGGATAAGATTCTTCATATGTAATAACATTAACTATTATTTACTATGTTCTACTAAATTAAGAAATAGTGCTTTTAGTTTTTAAAATTTGGAAATAATCACTTTTAATTTTTGGACAATATCAATGTTGCAAACCTTGTCCATGTGACTTAAGGCGCTACTCAACATATCACATGGGGAAATATTTATTTTGCTCAAAAATTATTTCTTTATTTTTTTAAAATATTATTTTTATCCCTCAATTTTATACAAGTTTTTAATCTTTTTGAATTTAAAGTAACATTATTATCTTCTTAATGTAAATTATTTATCAGATTAATGAAATATGTTTTATGATTTAAAAAAATATATGATATTTTTAAAACTCTAAAATATAAATAATTAATCATGTTTTATGATGTATTTTGTTAGGAGAAAATATTGTGGGGAGAAGACACAAGGTAAATAACTTTTGTAGTGTTGATTGTAGTCATTAATCAAACACTCCATCACCTGAAGACAAGTCTTAAAGGGTTCAATATTGTGCTACTTCCAGCACCATTGTTATACTCACAGTTTTATTCTTTTAATAAATTAAACTTAATATTCTTATATTGTGTTAATTTATAATAATTCTCTAATTGTTTTTTCATGAATAACATTGGACACTCTTCCATCAACATCTCATTTGTTAATATCCTGTATTTTTTAAATTACAACCAATATCCTAGGTGTTGTTTATATAAATATATATGTTCAGCTTTTCTTTTATTATAATTACTTTTTACATTGTATTCATATAAATAATGTATTAATAAAACATAATTAATATATATAATATGTATAAGTATAATTATAATTTCTTATATCAACTATTAAACAATGACATAAGGTATTTATTGAGAGTATTTAACCTAATTCACTAAAATTACGAGATTGTATTTTATTATTATTATTATTTATAACAAAACATATAATTTCCTCTTTATTTTTATAGTTTTTTAATTTTAAAATAAATATTCTGAATTTTTAGTAAATAACAATTACATCATTTAATTTTTATACCAATCTCATATATATTTTTAATAAATTAACACGTATCTCCTTTATCTTTATTATTTTATTTAAAAATAATATATCAATTAAAAATATCAAAATATTTCATTTATAAAAAATTAACTTGTATACTTTAAATATTAATTTTTAATTACAATTTAGTTAAAGAGAAATATGTGGTTTGTTTTACAAAAATTATTCACTTTTATTATCATATTTCAAAATTTAAAACAATTTTAATTATGTTTGACCAATTATATCTTTGTATTTAGGATTAATAAATGTGAATTAAATAAAATAAATAAATATACACTTTTAATAAAATTAAAAATATTTTTTATACTCCTCAAAAATAATTAACAACTCAGGAGCATATGTTATATATATATATATATATATATATAATAAACTCTTCCTACTTCAAACCTACTCTTAATTTTGCTAATTTCAAAGAATTGGTATAGTCCAAAAAAGATGGATCTACCTGTGCTGCTACAAGTGTAGTTAGATCTAATGCCATCTTATAACTTAAGTGCCCATCATTAGTCAAACCCTTGACAGAAAACGACAAAGGGGAAAAACTCCTTCTCATTTGTGTAATGCATCTAATTTTTTTATTTTTTTCTAGTGGGCTCCATTCACTTAAATTCTCTTGCCATAACCATAAGGTTATTGATTTCAGTGAAATGGTATTGTAGAAGAAACATTGGAGTCAGATTAGTGATCAGAACTCAGAAGATTGTCCTGCGCGTTACAAAGTGCAAACTCCTCGAACAATGCAAAATCACCGACTCTAATATTTTTACGTACGAGATAACAAAAACTGCTAGGTAGTCCCCATTCAATTACTTCAATTATTTTATGTAATGGATAAATAAAAATTAGTTAAACACTTAAATATTTAATGACAAAAAATTTAGGAGAATTATATTGTAATTCAGCAAAATAAGTAAACTACAAAGGTAGGATTTAAAAGCAATTTTGGGCACCACCTACGAAGCAAAAATCATTGAAATCAATTAAGATATGATGTGTTTGGTGAAGAACTACAGATTGTAGGGTAGTCACGCACTTCTTCAGTACAGAGTTTGATTTTGGTGCAGTGGTGGTATCCATTCTGCAGGGAGATAATTTTTTTTAATATTATTTGAAAGAATGAGATGACAAAGATTAATACGAAACCTATGATAGTAGAACAGGTGATGTTACATAGTAAGTTAATAATTTTAAAATTAATGCAAATTATTAAATAAAAATATAATAATATTTTATATTTAGTGACAATAAATAAGGATATGGTAGGATGAAAACATAGGTCACATTATTAAGACTAGAAACCATTGGCAGTGTCCTAAGGTTCAAAGTGGGGTCGTTTCAGACTAGGATTGAGAAAGAAAGAGAAGAATATATTAATCTTTTGATCCGCGGATTATGCCTGAATAAGTGGGGCATTTACTTTGAATTCACACTGAAGAATAAATAAACACAACAAAATCATCAACATATATGATCTCAGAGTTCGATATTTGATAATGGTGAACACGACAATCTAAGGTGTGATTAGGTATACTGGTATTAAGTTCAAGATAATACTATTATTTACTAGTAGTTAATTCTAATTACGTGCTAATATTCTTTTTATTATTTTTCTGATCCCAACACTAGTATATGGATCTTTGACTTTGACGAATTAGTGGATTATGTAAAAAAATTATTTGTTTTCACTCTTTACAAATCACAACTACTCAGCCCCAATAATTTAGAATAGAAATAAAGCTATACTGAAGATAAATTCGGTGCTGCGTTTTATTTTTCACTGGGAAAAAAAACTGAGCGTTAAATTATATTATAAGAAAGCGGTTAAATTAATAAAATTAATCAATATTACTAAAATTTGTGTCTATTTATTACTATATTTTAATGGGAAGCAGTATATCTACAAGGCTTCATTCAATCTAACAAGATAATTGAAGGAAAAAAAAAGAAGCAAATTATTCACTTCACATTGGAAAAAAAAAAAAAGCCTTGGCACCTAGTCCCAGAAAAATAGCTAAACTCCCATGAACCAAGCCCTTACACCCCCACTAACAAACCCACAACACAATCATAGTCAGAAAACAACAGCACTTGGCAAACCACCATCACAAGAGATAAAGCATATAGATTTTTTTTGGATGATTTTGAAAAATACTGAAGTATTTCGAAAATTTTAACAAATATTTTTCATACGCATAAAGATAAAATCAAACTTTTAATTTTAATATAAAAGACAAAATTATCAAATAATGTATATTATGATAATTTTCTATGGCTGGCCGACACGTCATTGTTTTGGTCTACCGACACAGTAAACGCGCGCTACTGTGGACCCAACTTTGGCCTCATATCCACTTCTTCTGACCTTAATTTTAACTCTACTTTCCTCTTATCTTCATTCATAGATCAATTTGCCATTATTTTCAACATAACGTATACCTACCTACTCATGTTACATTCGTGTATTTAATATCTACATATTTTTTAACAAATACTCCATTTCATACGGCTTATTATTTTTCAATAATTCGTATAAAACCCAATAATTTCAATTACGTTGTTTAATGTAAGTTTGAAAATTTTGATTCACATTTCAAACGTTGACAAATAAATACTATTTTAAGTAATTTTGACTTATATATGAACCATAAATCCACTTTGAGATATCTAACATGGTCTCCGCGTCAAAACGAGGTGGTCGGAGCGACGTGATGGTTCCGACTTTCCGACTTTCGCGTTTTTTATTGGTGGTTACAACGCCTTTAGGTTGTCCGATAACCGGACTGAACCTAGGGGCGAGGTTTTCGAAAGGGCACTCTTGGATTGTCCGATAATCGGGCTAATCCAAGAGCTAGTTTTGAAGGGTTCTCTGGAGTCGCGCACCGATGTTTTTACCGGAAACATCGGAAAATGGGTTAAAAAGGCGTTGGTTTTCAAAAAACCAACTTTGGTCGTTAGAACCAGAGTTGGGTAAGGGAGTTAGTTACGCGTAAAGGAAGTGTTAGTTCCTTTACAACGCCCATTTCGGGTTCCCTATGATAGGCCAGCTATTCTAAGTAAATAAACCGAAAAATACGCTTTTACCCTTTTATTTTGCGGAATTTAAATTATAACTACATTGCCCTAATGTCTATCGCGTGATTTAAATAAAGCGGTAAAGTAGAGAGAGAAGGATTAGAAACCTTCGAAGCAAGCTTTCTATTAATTCTTTTTTAAAATAGGGTGCTTTGTGGCAACCCTTCACTCTACACAGCGTCGGAATCCTCTCGAAACGCTCAGAAACGCTCTTAGAAACGCTCAGAAACTCCGGAAATGCTTCGGAGGGGTTCTACAGAGAGAATTTGGTGATGTGACTAGAGAAAGAGTGAAAAAACTGTGGAATGAGGGGAATGGAGCCCCTATTTATAGGGATTCGTGCCTGTCAGGTCGAGACGGCCATCTCGTCAAACGAGACGGCCGTCTCGCCTTGCAGGAATGGCGAGACGGTCGTCTCGCCAATCGAGACGGCCGTCTCGCCATTCGCAGGTGGCGAGACGGCCGTCTCGCCATTCGCAGGTGGCGAGACGGCGGTTTCGCCACTTGCACAAGGCGAGACGGCGGTATCGAATCCGAGACGGCGGTCTCGACCCTTAAAGGCGAAAATCCTTATTTTTGTGCCAAAAAAACCCTCCTATCCTAGTATGGGGCCTAATAGTCTCTCCTAGTGGCTTCTTAGGCTTTGTCTATCTTCGAAAAGGAGGTCTTTTGGTCTTTATTATGAGGCCGGACAAGATTTGGGGTCTACAGATGCCCCCCCTTTACCTAACTAGTCGGCTGTTGGCCTGTTGTGCCACACAGATCGACAGGAAGGTAAAGGAGTTGACCATCTTGCCCGGATACCCTTCGGATGCTTCGTCTTGCGACGGTTGATCTTCTGGGAAAATTTGTGTTGTGCACCTCCAGGATACTCCTTCTGACGGTAGCCGATCCCTTTGGTTGACACAAGGTAGAACCTCAGGATACTCCTTCTGACGGTAGCCGATCCTTTTGGTTGACACAAGGTAGAACCTCAGGATACTCCTTCTGACGGCAGTCGATCATTCGGTTGATGGGTATAAACCCCCCCATCAGGCTGGTAGATGCAGTCCGCTGTGTGTTGGACTGGATGGGTATGAACCCCCCATCAGGCTGGTAGTTGCGACTTACTGACCTGGCTGGGGCGCAGATCAGGCGCACTTGCGTGCGCGGGTTGATAGGTATGAACCCCCTATCAGGCTGGTACGGTCCACTGCGTAGGACCGGTGGTGGTGGCGGCTTACTGCTCAGGTGGCTCATGCGCCGAGCATTTGAGGTGTGCTTTCTTTTATTTTTGTTTGTATTTGGTCGTCCAGTTTGCGCCGGGGATTCTGTTGGTGTTCATCCAACTCGTTGATTGCTGAGGATTCTTTGACTTTGATTCTTTGGTAGTGGTCATCCGACTTTGTCGGGGACTTTTTTATGAGTGCCTCTTATGTAGGTAGGTAGGAATCCTCTGGGGATTTGTTGATCTTGGTGACGCCACTTGAGTAGGCGGATATCCATTGAGTTTCTGGTAATGCCTATGAGTAGGCAGATGCTTCATCGGAAGTGAAGACTTTTGGCTGCATTTGTTTTACCTTTGACTAGGTTGATATGTGGATGATCTTTCTCTTTTTGGTGATCTACCGGGGAATTGATTGCCTTCCCGGGGATCTAATTTTGATTTCCCCCCTGAGGGAATGAAGTTTTGACTCCTTTTTGGATGTTGTTGGTATGAGCTGGCTTTGTCGATACTCTTGTTTCATTGGGATTTCTGATTCCTTCTTTTTCGTTGATTTTTCCTTTTCTGCGGAGACCCACTTAGGGATTTTATTAATTGCCTAAAAGTTAGGATTGATTTCACCTTTTTTTTCGCGATTTATCTCTTTTTATCGTGATTTTGAAATCTGGCTTTTTAATGGGGATAATGCGTAAGCCTTTTTACTTTTTAGTCTCTTTTTATTACGCTGACTTTCTCCCTTCTTTTTGGGGGGGGGGTCCACTAGGGATGACGTTTTATTTTTTTAGTGATCCACCAGGGAATTAGTTGACTTCCTGGGGATCTGATTTTTCTTTTCTAGGAATGGAGTCTTGGCTCCTGATTGATGTTGATGTGAGTTATACTTGTGAAGCTCTTATTCCACTGGGGGATGGGAATTTCTGATTCCTTTTTGTAGAATTTTTTGGAGATCCACTTGAGGATTTTTATTCGGCCCTCTCTATCATGGCCTTTTTGGACATCCGCTGGGGATGCAAGGATTTTATTTTCTCTTCTTTCTTTTTGTTGAGTCCTTGATGGTTTAGACTCTTTTGACTGTTGATAATGATGGGCTCTTGAAGCCTTTATTCTCCATTGGGGAGTGTGGAGGAGACTTTGGGTGAGTGTGTTTGATGACTCATGTGGTGGTAATGCTGAGCCGTGAGGAGTGTTTTTGTTTTGCCTTTGGAGTAGGAAGGGATCCTCTTGGGGATGACTAGGTCTTTCTGTCGGCTTTTCTTTTATGACATCTGATGATTGTGCCCTCTTTTATTGGGTGATGACTGGAGCTTTGGCTTCTGGAAGCTTCTTATGACAACTCGCTCTTCTTTCTTGAGGGAGAGCAATGTTTGGAGACTTATTACTTTCTTGTGTCTTCTTTTCTGGGTAGAAGGATGGTAGCTGGAGCTCTTGATTTTTGGAAGCTCTTATTCCGCTGAGTCGCTTGACTGACGACTTGCTCCATTTTCGTGAAGGCTTTATTTTGGAGACTCGGTCTCA